ATTGGGGAAATATCCCCTCTCTAAACGGCAGTTTATAATATGCGTTAAGTACACATCAATTTCAGGTATACATAGTAGTATCATATGTAAAGTTATTCAATCTGTACCACTAGAATTTGATTTTATTTTATGTATAATTTTAACAACAGTGTCAATAGTCACTTTATTAAATTGAAATTTGAAATTTGAGTTATTTTTATTAGCTCGGTAATATGCAATTTTATCAGCACAAGCCAAATCACTATTCTCGAAAATTGAAATAAATGCCTTATTTATTTTATACGGATCTGACAAGCTCACGGGAATTGTAGAATCTTTCTGAGATTGTACTTTGAAAGTCTTTGGGGTCTTATAAAACTTTTTTATATCCCGATTTTGAACAGCTTGTAAATAATCTCTTTTTCCTCTTCGCACGAGCGTTAATGCACGATTTCTGAAATATGTATACTGTTGCCAAGAGGCGGCTGTACGATCATGTTTGAACTTTGACAAACCTTCAGCTCTCTGCTTGAATACAAGTTTAATATTATCATCCAACCAAGGAGCTGGAGCTTTGTTTACACGCACTACCTTTTTTATACAGTGAACATTAAATAAACATAAAATACTATCTGTTAAAAAGTTAATTTTATCTTCAATGTCAGCTATCGATATAATATGCCACCATGGAAAACTCTTGAGATCTTGTTCAAAGGCTGTTTCATTTAAACTATGGAAATCCCTGAATGTCACAAATTTCTGTTGATGTTTAGGAAGTGCAATACGTATATCACAGACGGTCAAATAGTGATCAGTAATCATATCAGCATTAATATTATTATTAATAATATTATCTCTCACAGCTGGTCTGATGATAGTCGGAAGGTGGTCATGTGAACTCGATGCATACCCATCGAGTTAATTAACACTCATCTATAAGAATCATATACAGCTTTTACTTCCCACGCCTACTGGCAAGAAAGTATTGTGACCGCAAAGCTATGCGAAAATTAGATATTTTTTTGGATGTCATATGTATATGCCATGTACATTATGTAGAACCGTGTAACTTATTTCCATCGGTATATTGGTCTATAGGTCTGCCTGGCCGATAATCTTTCGCCTATCTATAACTTGCACTGATCGAATTTCGATGAAATTTCCACACGAGGTTGCTACTATGCCAATGACGGAAAATCTGTATTGTTTTCGAAAATCTTGTTTTTTTGGCGTTTAAGAGGATCCTGATTATTGTTGTAGGGTCATATCATGTTTTCCCTTAGTATCTTTATACGTTCCTAACCTCATAGGTCTACGCACCTATTATACATATCTCACACATATGTTTCCCCGTACATGTGAAGACAATGTTAGATAAATGGTTTCAATACCCGTTACCTCTTCTGCTGTCTGTGATCACCGGCTACCACGAAGGTCTTGGTAAGTGTTCTGGTCTTACTGCCGGGCTGCCGCGTCACACGCGTTGTATCGTCAGGTATCGAGGAAACGCGACGTTGCCGATGGACTACTGGTAGGACACGGTGAGCATGTTTATGAACTAATTGTGTGGACCCTTTAATTTCTCTATTTTATAACTTTTTTCTCAGTGAGTCTAACTTGTGGTGAACAATACTTTATGAACTGATGACGGCGTTGTCAGGGAAGTGGAGAGTCAACCTACTTGAAACCATTTTAATTTTAGACAATCAGCAAAGCAAACTTATGGATATAAATACATTTTATACGATTTATATCGATCGAAATATAATAATAATAATAATAATAATAATAATAATAATAATAAATGGCCTTTATTCGTCACACGATTACAAAATAATTTGTTTAAAAGGAGCAGTGACGAACTTATGGATATAAATACATTTTATACGATTTATATCGATCGAAATATCATAATGCAAATTAAATAAGGCTATTAATAAAGTTCTACTAATAAAAATGTGTATTACTAAGCTAATTATTGGACATCATAAATAATAAAATATAAAAAATATATAAAAAAGGGAACTTATTAAAAACCAGCTTTTATTCAGCTGTCAATTAGTGAAATGAAAATTGGAAACGATGTTGCATTTGGAAATATACCGTTATACATTTCGTGTAAGTTTTCAAATAAAAGCCTGTAAACCTCTTCTTCCTCTGGCTGTTAAAAAGTAAACTGGAGGGATAGGCGTTTAAATATCTTTTAAAAGTTAATAAGTATAAAACGGCCTATTTCTAATCGTAAAAAAATATTCCTGAATCTTTAGTTCTTTTTAGCAGCTTATTAAAAGCTTGTTTTGAAAAATGTATCTATGTAGCGGCAAAATTATGAAATTAGAGATATAGACCTATGAAGATAGGGAACCAAATGGCTCCAGTTTCCTTCCTTTTGCGGAATTAGCCATTATTTTTGTTTTCGGTTGTAAATTTTAAAACAATTCCTCGACCTTACGACAACGTTTTTAGCAAATGTTTTAAACATACCAAAATACCATTTTTCATATCTCATGATTCTTATGTCCAATAAAATAGGCCTCAATGATCTAAACATTTTAACTACTCTCCTTACCGCAGGAATAAAAATCAAAGATAATATCGAAAATCTATATAAGAAGTTATTTCTTTCAGTTTCAAGACAGCCCTCTAAAGATTTATTATTAGAATCTTCGTCTTGTCGTCTTTAGGGGTAATCCGACAATCTATGTGCAAGCTTCGCCGATAAATTAACGTTAGGAAAATTCCAATCCGCACACTGGCTGATTGGAATTTTATTCAATCTCGTTGGATAGCAGCTAATAAAGCGAAAATAAATTTTATTGGAATTGGCGCTGTTTCCCTCCTGATTAATTTCTTGAAGGAGGATCTATAAATAGATCCGCACTGATTTTGTAAAAAACACGAACAGTTGAATTTTAGAAGTCAGTGCAGAAGTTAATTCTGGAGAAGGGCAGATTCGTAACTTCTACGTCACGAAAATCCAAGTGACATATTTTCCTTACTCTAAGTAGCATCACAAAAATGTTTTAGGTTTATTTGAAGTTTAAAATAGTTTCATTGTGGCAAATAAAAAGATAACGGTTTCAAAGTTACCTTCTATATATACTGCCAGGACCTAAAAACTGTTTAATATTTAGTACTGGTTCTAAAGAATCTAATAATATTATCAAATAAGATCAATTAGTCTTAACAGTTTATTTGTCTTATACTAGTTTTTAAATGGTTTTGTCTCCATTAATTTTAAAGGGAGGCACACACTGACGCGAATTAGTTCGCCGCGATAACGAAGCGAATATTTCGCGACATCGGCGATAACAAAAATCGTCGCTCGTATCACATTTGCGCAAATATTTCGCAACATATGCAGTCAAAATCCGTGTCTCTTTTTAAGATTTGCGCGAAAATTTCACAAGATACTATTTTCTGTTGATATATGAAAAGATGGACTCATCAAGCTCTGAAGTGGAATCAGTACTATTATTGACTGCCTTAGAAGATAAGGGAGTTGAAAGGTAAGGCAAAATTGAAAACCTACCTGTAGTAGGTATGTATCTCTTGCCCAATTTCATCCCATAACTTATATTTATTTCTCATATTTTTGTAATAGTCATGGCTTAAATCGTATAACATCGGATATTTTTTCACAAACTCTATTAACCTTTCAGTTAAAGCCATCTTTGATTCGCAACTAAAGCGACAGAAAACCCAGCTGGTCGTGAAAGAAATACGAGTAAAATCGCTGGAGTTTCATTGTCGCCAAGCTAAATTTTCGCGCCAGTATGTTCTATTTCACGAAGCGACGATTTCGCAATCGCACCGGATTATTCGCGTCGATGTGTGCATTTCTTAAAGCTATTCAGTCTTATCAAGAACTGGGAGCTATTAAGTTTCATGTTACGTTTCAGTTTGTGACGTTGTAGTTTTTAAGCAGTTTTCAATTTTCACCTAATATAAGTAATAACACCCATTATTTAATCTACTTTACCTTACGTCCATTGTGTTAGTAAACAATATGCCTTGAATCTATTTCTTTGGATCTTTAAAACGCTTTTTTAAATGCAATTATCAGGCTATATTGAGACTGGATGAATTTGGTTACCGTAAAGCGTAAATATATTCCTGGTTAAACAATGAGACTAAACTCACTTTTGCATACCTCGTGTCCAGAATGAGCGCAGCATTTTGGTTGCCTTCCCGAGACGCTGGAAGCCATGATTGATAAACAGTACTGGGCTTACATAAAAATGAAAAAATATTCGTTTAAAGACGTAATTCCGATTTATTTTAATATTAAGAAATTAAAAATCATAGATAAAATTATGGTTCTTTCCAATTAATGTTTTTCAAGCTTTCAATTTTTTTTTAATTATAAAGTTTCACAAGTTTTGAGGCACCTGAGTTTTTGAAACCTTCTTTTTTTCAACATTTATCGATAAAATCTGGTGTCCAAGTATCTTTCCACCTCGAAATTCCTACCTATATACACGGTGTCCGAAATAAGGATCCTATGCATGGGGATCTCGATACCTGTGGAAGACACAGCTTAGGTTTAATTAGAAAAAAGTTGAGTTCTTTGGGGCATATTTACATGCCGTTGAGGAACTTGTAAAAATTATTACATGACATCCTTATCTTGTACACCCTGCATAGTTTCAAACGTTCCGAAATATATTAATCATAAGCATCGTTATCCAGGTTGATATAGCTCGGATATTATTCGAAATTTAAAACTGAAACGTAGACTGCATCAACAATATAAACGTTTCAAAAGTCGGGAAATCTATGGACAAATTTCTAGGGACCGTGCACTTGTTAAACAACAGATAAAAGACTGTTACCTGCAAAAAGTTGAAAATGATTTGGTTACAAATCCGAATCATTTTTAATCTTTTATCCAGTCTAAGAAAGGCTTATCTAGAATACCAGGTAGAATGACCCTTGCTAATGAAGTCTCAGATAATCCTAATCGGCCTATTAGTTCATTTGCAGAGTATTTTCGAAGTGTTTATGTTAAAGATAATGATCTATACCAACATCCCGTTGTTAATACTCAGCATGACTGTTTTCATCTGGGTAACTTCACAGATGAGTCTAAAGGCACTGTGTAAATTACCAAACAAGTTAACAGCAGGAGAAGATATGGTACCGAGCTTTGTAGTCCGTGATTGAGCGCACATATTTGTCACGCCTTTAAAGAAAATTTTTAATTATTCCCTCAGTACAGCAACTTTTCCTACAAAATGGAAAGTGGCTAGAGTATGCCCTATTTTTAAAGCTGGGGACCCTAGTAAAATCGAAAATTACCGGGCTATATCTATATTGGATAATTTTGGTAAGGCATTTGAGATATCTGTATACAACTGCATCTATCCTTTGACCTCGCATCTGATATCTGAGACGCAACATGGATTTATGCGCAATCGCTCTACTATTTCTAACTTAACTGAAATCACCCAGGAAACTGCAGAGGTCTTAGTTAATAGGGGTCACCATGTGCCTTGGCAGCGCCATCGCCTTTAAGTTCAACTTCGCCTACAACTGGTTATGAAGCCACTATATGTGAGGTCACTCCTCATAACTGGGACCTCCACTTTAAGCACCTGGCCATCCTCGCTTCAGTCGAGTCAAAATGGACCAGCGAAAGATAAGTTGATAGTTTTATAGCAGCGCCAAAGATGTAAAACTTATCTTGTTCTTTAAAACTGTAAAATTGTAATGTAATGAAAATGCTTTTTTTTATTAAATAAAATCTGTTAAATTTTTGTGTTCTGTTTGTTCTTCTATCCTCTAGCCATGCCATGGTCGACACACAGCTACACGCCTGTAGATGTCTTCATGCCACCGACTGAGCTACCGGAAGCTAATGGTAACCCCCTTTCTGTGATTGTGCAGAAAAGTTGGAATCTTCATTGCATTCCATGTTTTCTGGACTTTTTGCGGAAAGGAAGCGTTATATAAATTGTCACCAAAGAATCATAGGTAAACTTCAGCATTTTGGTTTTAGCAATCATTTATTAGATTTCATTTCTTCTTACTTGCGTGATAGAAATCAGAACGTTTCAAATCTTCACCTTACTCGACCTCATCCGGTGTTCCGCAGGGATCAAATTTAGGCCCTCTTCTCTTTCTTTATTTTATCAATGACCTCCCTAACTGCTTAACCTGCCCTTCTCTGTTGTTTACCGATGATTTAAAAATATATGCTCACATTAACAGCATTGATGACTGTCTAATCTTGCAAGCTGATCTCAATCATATATTTAAATGGTGTTCAACTGATAAATTCTTCTTTTACCAGGAAAACGAATAAAATAGTTTTTAATTACACACTGGAAGGTGTCAGTTTTATTCATTGTTCAGAAGGAAGAGATCTAGGTGTGTTGTTTGATGTTAAATTAGAATTTACAGGTCATATTAGTGCAACAGTATCATCCGCTATAAAAAGTCTCAGTTTTTTTATAAGAAACTGTTAACCGTTGGGTAGTGAGACGGCACTGAAGGCTTTATACTGCACCTTGGTGCGTTCTAAGCTGGAATACGCATCTAGTGTATGGCATCCATATTACCAAATCTATACTAACGAAACTGAAAGTGTATAGAGGAGATTTCTTAAATACTTGACTTTCAAATTAGATGGTGTTTATCCCAATCGTGGGACTGCCCAATCGGCGATGTTGCTCAGATTTGAAATGCATCCTCTTGTGCTGAGAAGAGTTTGTAATATTTTAACGTTCCTTTACAAACTCCTACACGGTGATGTTGATTCTTCAGCTTTATTAGCTAAAATTGATTTTCATGTAACGTTCCGCATTTCCCGAAGATTTCTCGCTTTTTAGTTAAAAACACCAAATTCTAATGTTATGATTAAGTCACCCGTGTACTTTATGTGTACCAGCTTTAACAGCATAGCTGATAATTGTGACATTGATCATGATAAAGTCAAAGATATATTAGCTGTATTCAGCGACTACTATTCTTCAGTTTATAACATTTAAGACATGTAGGTAAGTAGGTGTAGCTATTCATTTTTTTGTTTCATTTTTTTTTTTTCAGAAACTGGGCGAGCTATGATTGTAGTTAAAAATACTGTAACGTCAAATGATATTCAATTACTTTCTCCTTTAAATGGATTTATCTGTTGGGCAATAAATATGTTATTATTATTATTATTAAAGAACTCTTTTCATTTAACGTTTATGTTAACAATAAGGTAATCAAAGTCATAGTAACTAAATTTGATGCAGTTTGTTATACAGACTATCTTCCAATCCAGTTCATACTTATAATCTTATTGCACAGGAAATAGATTTTCAAATCCGTCTTGTTCTATATTTCAGTTCAAATACCATTCTTTTTCGACTTTCCAAAATTGTTAGCTCGTAAGACGTTTTTGTTGTCCTGTTATAAGTTTTATATTGGATGTTCGTGGGTAGAGGCGTCCAAGTCTGCCATTTTTTTCATGATAATGATATACAACGTATTCATCAGAAACTTTCTTACCACGGATTTATCGAAAATCACTGATTAAAAGAAAAAACGCGGATACACGTCAAAAGATTTGTCAACTTTTTAATCCAGAACCTCTTCACCCCCTTTCACCCTCTACCCCCTAGGTCATCCGACAAGAGAAGTATTGAGTAACAGCTTGTTTTGAAGGTCTTTCAAGTCCTTTATTTTAACGTTTGATTTTTTGAAATCGGTCGACTCGTTTTCAACATAATTAGAAAATCCTGTATTTACCTTCATTCGTTCAGATAGGAAACAAAAACATACAAAAATATCACTTTTTACCATTTTGGAAGTGAAATCTGAATTAATAAATTAATTTTCAATATCCCAAGATTGTCACAAAGGTAACTAACAGCAATTTAAATTCTGCCTTTCCCTTTCCAACAAATAACTAAACAGGTATAACAGTAAATGCAGTTCGTTCAGGATATCTGTGTTGATGAAAAGATGCGGCACAAAATTCGGGTTGTTATTTGACTGTTGAAAGGTCTGATCTTCCGAATTGCTGTTTATATCTCTAATTTCAGTTTTAAATTATGAACGGATTCCAGATTTGGCAAACCCTAACAGGCAACATTTTGAACGCTTATTGAAATAAAAATTGATATGTGTTTTTGTTTTCTATCTGAACAAATTAAGATAAATAAAGGTTTTCCTAATTTTATCGAAAACGAATCGACTGATTTCAAAACATCTAACGTCAAGATGGAGGACTTTAAAAGGCATTTCAAACAAGCTATTACTCGATACTCTTTGTCATTTAAAATTTTCAAGGGGATGATCCTGGGGGGGCGAGGGTGAAAGGGGGAGGAGTAGTTGTTGGTTAAAAAGCTGTTCCCCTTGACAAATCTTTTGACGTGTCTCGGTGCTTCTTTTAATCAGTGGTTTCAGATAAATCCGTCCTGTTTATTGCTGTATCCTGGTGCCAGAATTACGCAGACCGGAATCATGAGACGTATCTGAATACCGTCGTATTTCAAATCAGTACTTATTGTATTTCTCCGTAGTGTGCCCGTCCTGGATATGATGCCGCTGTATATCGAGTTACGGCTCCTCTACACGTTGGCCAATCCGCTGGCCAACGCATTGGCAAGGACATTGGACTATCTGTCCACACGCTGGAACTGTTGGAAGGACGTTCAGTTTGTTGCGACGCAGGCCAATATGAACAACATGGAGATCATGAAAGTAGCAGTTGCTGCAGTTTATTTATTTACTGCATTTAGGTACTGCGTAAGTGTGTATCATTACAAACTTGTAAAAATCTATAAACACCACAGAACAAAAGCACTTAAAACCACCCGTGCCCTACAACAGCTGGACACATACTAGGCCAGAGAATCCCCAACGTGTGAGAGAGAATACCAGCGTCCGCCAGTTTCAAGGTCAACGCCTTTGATGCGTCTTGAAAAACCGACACCACGACGGATCACACGCTGGCCAATAGACATTGGCCAGCGTGTTAGTCAACGCATTGGCCAACGTGTAGAGAAGCCTTTATTTATCTATATAGCGTTGGTCCAGTATCATTTGTTGGCTGAAAAAGCGGAGGTCGCTCAGCGCCAACGTTAGCCAACCCCTGCCAATGTGCATTGCTTTAGCGTTCACACATCGGAGTTGTCTTCGCTGGCTCCATGTATGAACAAAACATAGTACGCACTCATTTTCAATAGAAAGATAGTACAACCAACATCGTATGCGACATAGTAATGGGAAATATAGATTAATCATGTGAACAACGGAATTTCCGAGCAAGATTATGAAACATTTATCAGTCTAGTGATTAAGTTCTTATGCGTGCTATACATATATACAGAGTGATAGACGTATAGAGGTCTCACTTTCTGTATTGGGACACAATACCATGGTTATTTAATGCTTTGCAAAATTTAACAGTTTAAGCAAACAAAAGCTTCTTCCAGTAAGGCGTATTCCTTATGGGATATGGGTTTCGGCGAATTTTCCCATGGGGTGTGTTTCCCTTTTCATGATTACCAGTAGAGTCAATGGAACAAAGACCGAGAGGCTAATCTTAAAGTTTCATCAAGCCGAAAAGGTGTACATTTTTTATGACGAGGAATAAGAGGTGATAGAGGGTGGTCCCAGAAGTACCCGACCCAACGAAGAAAACACAAAAATTTTATAAAAAAATGCATTTATTTTTCAACATAATTTCCTTTGAGCTCTATACACTTTTCCCAGTGATGTTCAATAAGTTCGACACCCTTCTTATAATAAGAACTGTCTTGCTCCTCAAAATAGCCATTAACTGCCGACATCACTTCTTCATCGTTGGAAAATCTTTGACCACTGAGCCATTTTTTCAAGTTTGGAAACACAAAATAATCCGAGGCGGCTAAATCTGGTGAATAGGGTGCATGAGCTGGTAATTCAAACTTTAATTCGTTAATTCTGGCCATCGCAATGACGGATTTGTGAGCTGGTGTATTGTCTTGATGGAACAACACTTTCTTCTTAACCAAATGCGGCCGTTTTTGCTTGATTTCATCGCTCAAACGTTGCAATAAGTTCACATAATACTCGATGTTGATAGTCAATGAAAATTATCCCACGCGCATCCCAAAAAACCGACGCCATAACCTTGCCTGCAGATGAAACGGTCTTCGTCTTCTTCGGAGCCGGTTGTCCCTTTTGAGTCCATTGTTTTGATTGTTCTTATGTCTCGGGTGTGAAGTGATGAACCCATGTTTCAGTCATGGTTATGAAACGATGCAAAAATTCTGCTTTGTTGCTGTGAAACTTCGCTAAACACTCAATTGAAACACCTTCACGACACCGTGTTTGCTCGATTGTGAGCAATCGCGGCACCCATCTTGCACACAGCTTTCTCATGTCCAAATTTTTAGATAATATGCGATGAACCGCACTTTTAGATATGTCTACTATGTCAGCTAGCTCGCGCACTTTCAGTCGACGATCATTCAGTACCGCTTTGTGAATTTTCTTCACCATTTCTGGAGTCGTTACCTCATTTGGTCGACCACCGCGATGCTCGTCCTGGCAGCTCAAACGGCCTTGATAAAGTCTGATACCAATATTTTACTGTTGTAAACAAAGGAGCAGACTCACCCAGAGTAGAATCCAGTTCAGCTTTTATATTGGTTGAGGCCTTTGAAATAAAAGTACTGTACCACATAACGATGACCAATTTTCTCCATTTTCACAAATTCACTGAAAACGTTCAGTATTGATGGCTGCCAAACAAATACTTAACAATGTGGCGTCTTCAAACTTGACACACATACTTTGTAGGTTGCATACTTTCTAATACAATGATATTTTTCAAACAACTATCGCCATCTTTAGGTAAGGCCGGGACCACCCTCTAGATATGTGTCTAGAATATGCACTATGTATCCATTTGGTAGCGAGTAAATCTAGCTCAGCATTAGCCTCTTTGACAGGTAAGTCGTGGTTATTTGGCAAAAAACGATAGTAAATTGTTGAGACACCCTTGAGCATAAACTTGATTCTTAATTATCCAAACAGAGAAATTGTTATTAATTGAGAAGTTATCTTGGAAAGTTTTCATTTCTCGTAATATTTTTCTTAATACCCTAACGTTTAATTAAACTGAATTTTCTGGAACCAGTTTTAATTGAAAGCAATTTACTCTCAAACTAATTTGCTTGAAAATTGAACTGTTTAATTAGTTTAGGTAATTTACTGTATGTTGTGTGTAAAAAAGGTTCGAAGAATTTTAAAAAAGCTGTTTGTTTGATTCGGCAGGATTGGACCTTCATTCGTGAATGATCGGGAGCATGCAACATACGTAGCGTCGGTGACGCGCTTCGAACTCCTCAGTTTCGTTTGTGATTTTCACGAGGATCTTTTCATAAGGCGCTTAGTGACCCATTACAATGATTAGAATATTTCTTGCTCCAAATGAAGCGCTCCACTGAGAAAAAAAATCAATTAAAGCAATTAACATTTTCATAAAATCAATTAAAATTTTGATAAGGCTTTAATTAACCACATGCCAGCTAAGGAGTTTAATTAGTTTTATGAAACTCCGATTTATATATTATATTTATTGGAATCCATGAACCTAGTTTAATTAAGTCAAAGCACAATCGTTCAATTAAATTTATTAAACCATTTACCTAGATTGAGTACACCATCTAATGAACTATTAAAATGAGTTCACCTGATCTAAGTAAAGCAATTTAAATGTATTTTTTAAATTTGCTTGACTAGTTCAGGTAAAACTATTAGCTTAGCTTTAATTAATTATTTTATTTACAGTTAAATGTATATTTGAAATTTAAAAGAACGATGTATATTATAACTGCGCACTCATAAATCTGAAATATTAAAAAACTTCAAAAACTCGTTACAGGTATTTCATATTTTTGAATCAAAATCAAACTTTGTAACCCTAACAAAACTCGATATTTTTTTATTTTCATCGATTGTGAACTTAGTATACTCGTATATGGGATCAAGTTTTACCAATCATGTTTGTCTGATTGTCCAGAAACAGTTCATACCATCATCCATTAAGAAGCAATTCTTTATTTTAAACTCAGTGCGGCTGCATAAATAAATTTTCAAGATTCTTGGCAAGTCTTGTCCTTGCTCTGCAACAAGTTTTAGGAGTAGATATACTCCTGCTCTTCCAAAAGTTTTGGGGGTAGGTATGCTTTCACAAAAAGGTGCCTTGATCTTCCCGACCTCTGAAAAGTTTCCTGCAAGAGCACGTGCAGTGGCTTTTCCTCGACGAAGTGTTGATCCTCTGATGCCCAAAATCAGGCAGTTTTGGATACTTACATATATTTATCGAGATGAAAATGCGATTCATTTGAAAAGGTGATTTTTTGATGAAAAATGACATCTTCCTCCTGATGGCTTCCGGGCCATGGGTCAAGCCGAAAGCTTATCGGATGATACCATTTCGTAAGCTTTCTGGTAATTTGTAAAAGAGATAACAGCTTCCGATGTCAACATGACCGCTACTTCAAATCCAACTTGATGATCCACCCTGTATTACGATGGAAAGTTTTACGTTTTACGTTTAAGTAATGCCGACTTGGTCTATGCAGATTACTTTTAAGTCATCGTATTTGGGTAGGACTTCCCTGTAGTCAATATTATCAATGCGATATTGAATACCTTTTAAGTATGCATGTTTCTTCATCGCATGTTTCCCAAAGTAAAGCGGTAAAACCATCCATCGTAAATAGATAAGCTATTGTGGTATATAATAAAAGTTCGGATAAATATGTATCAGTCAGTTATTATTCACATTTCCGATGTCAGTTTTAAAGATTAAGGTAATTTTTACCTTAGTCTGCATTGCAGTATGTGTGAGGTTATCACATGCCAAAACAAGTAAGTATATCTAATCTTAGATACATGTTTTTAGCTCTACGACAAATAGTTAAAGGAGCATAAGCCAATTTTTTCGACTTATTAGATGTTTTCGTATTCATTAACGACGTATGTCCATTTTTTCAACAGCTTTTAATCTAATTGCTTGATGGTGTGTATAGAGATGACTGCAAATAATGCTTGTTTCTTCTCTTCAAAAATTGCATTTTTGTGCATTTTCATGCATTTTTTTTTAAATTTTAACTTCTCAACAAATGAAAGTATGGCTTTACAATTGTATGTAAATATTCTAAAATATTCTATTCTATTTCTTGAAAATTCAATTTGCTGTAAAATGAGGTTTCCAGAAAATCAAAGAATTTTCGAAGAGAAAAAGTGACAAGAATAAAAGTGATCACTTGCACAATTCTACTATAAAAGTGGAATTTTGATATACAATTTCAGAGCTGTACTAATATTAGTTAATAAGCTATGAATAAAGGAAAAAATGCACAAAAATATGCAGTACCTGTTTCAGTTTCACACCATAAAATAATCTGATAAAAAAGAATTTAGAATACCTGCTGTTCCAAACAGGCAGTTGAAAAAAAGTATATATGGCTATAAGAACAATTATTCATTAAAATTGTAGAAGTAAGTGTATATGAAGAAAATGTCATTGGGGCTGGGATGAAATTCGTCTAGCCTCCTTGGTAAAGAAGCCTCAAGTTGATCTAATGTAACTCGGAAAAATTGGAGCTTTTTTTTGGTATATAGGAACCCTACTTAATTTTATCTGAAGAATAAAACAGTTGTTATTATATACATATATTATATTATTATTACTATACCGTATCATGCTAGGGTCATGTCAAAAGCAAATGTAATTTTGTAAGTGATGTGCGTTTGGATGACGGCATCCTATATACAGAATTTATAAAAGTGCAGTGTCCTAGGTTGAATGATTCGACCATCTCAAAGTTTGAGGATTCTGAAAAAATGTGCATACGAGTATTAACTTTTTGGCAACTTTTCCATTTTCTCTCTACTATTGTCTCTCAAAAGCATCAGGCCCCATAATAAACAACTATTCCGAGGTAAAACTGTCCAAGGATGACTACAAAATTTTTCGTGAAGGAGAAGGATCAACCTCTCCCCTATGTTGATGAATTTTGTACTGAGGCCTTCAAAAGAATTGATCGAATAGGTCTTGGATCCAATTTTCGATATGTTGGACCAACATTGGCAATTGTCATGATATCACAGGGCGGCTCATGGCTCAGGTAGAACTCACTTTTTTGCAGAGTACCTTTGGAAGCATAAGACTTTATGAAATCTCAGATTCGTAGGTAGGATAGTTCGCTCTGGAGACGCGGTCAAAGTTTGGATGTTCGGAAAAATGTGAATTCTAACCTTTTTGGCAACATCTTCATTTCCTCGCTACTGGTATCCTCGGAAAGCATCGGACCCAGAAATATTTGACTATTTTAAGTAAAATTATCCGAGGAATTCAAAAATGTGTCAAGTGATTTTCTCGAAGCACTTATTTAATTGTTTTATAGGTGTGACAGTTAGATTGCATTCGGAAACAAACAATTTAAAAAATTATTTTTACCCGAGGAGATCTGATCCTTTGCAGAGATAGGAGTAGCAAGGAAATGGAAGAGGTGAATGCCCATTTTTCCGAAGCTTTTAAGACCGAGAGCGTTTCCAGACTGAACCGCTCCACAAAGGAGCCTGAAGTTTTACAAGGCTTCATGCCTGCATAGAGAAAAGTTTGAGGCCGATCAGAGATATCTTAGTTTTGACCCATATTCGGTACAAGAAAATGTCGCAGCGTAAAGGCAGTCGGTCCTTTCGGACGCTGGCAAAGCAGATTGGAAGGAACTTCTCAAAGAGTAGCCTTACGTGTCAGGATGGAATGATTATAACCAACTCAAAGGCTGAGGGTGAGGCTCAAGTCGTTGCTTTCGTATGCATACTTCCATCCTACAAACCTCTCGAAGAAGCTTTGCATTTCCGTCATGTCTCCTCTTTATCCCACAATGTGAACTCAGGTGATCCTCAGGGATCGGTCCTGGCTCCGATATGGTTCCTCTCACATTTAACCACCTCCTTTCGTGTACGATCAATCTTGCTGATAACAGCACTTTACATGCAGGAATTCAGTGACATAAACTAAACTGATATCTGCCGGTGAGCTGGAGGAAAGAAGACTAGCAGCGACTTCTTGGATCGTTGATCTCGGCTGGTCCAGATCACCAGGGACCTGATTTGGCTCACTTCTCGTCAATAAAGGCAGCTGCTAGGCTGTTTGTTTGGGGCAAAAAAATACTTTGCCTGATCACATATTTGGGGTGCTCGTCTCTAACGGACAGGTTCAGGACAGACAGCATTGATATTGTTGAAAACGGAAAGTTCGCCATCGATCATCATACTAGTATAGAACGCGGTTGCCACGTTTGCTGAATATCTTATAAGTACGATACGGTATAGTGGAAAAATACATACGTATTTATGTATATTTTTTTATTTTTATACACATAAAATACTTTTTTACTCAAGCTATATTTTAGAGCGAGTGGTATGTTACCATGCCAGTTGGTCCGTGGGACGGCTGGGAGATGGGAAATTCGGAGTGGAAAATATAGATCCAAACCTTTGTACTCATATAATATACTCATTTGTTGGTCTGAATGCTGATGGTACTATCAAGATCGTGGACAAGAAGTTAGACGTCGATAACAGTAAGTCTTATATTAACAAAAACAACAGATTATGAATACAGTGGACCCCCGATAACCCGGCCCCTGTCTAATCCGGCGCCCCCTGTAATCCGACATGTCTTTGAATATGTATTACATACATACGTATTTGCCAATCTTCGCTAATGTAGATCACGCAGGTTTGAACAGGTTACAACTTGTACGCGCCACCGCTATCGTGCTCGACGCGTAAGCCTTGTTTTACTTAGTTTGAATTTGACTACTGGTGATAGCGGTACGGCGTGCGTTAATTGTTTACTATTTATTCATTGTGTATTAAGTATAGTACCTAGTAAACATTGACAATTAAAGAAAAATGTGATATTGTAGACCGCTTAAATCGCAATGAAGCTCTCAGTAGTTTAGCAAGTGAATACGGCGTAGGCCGATCTACAATTTATGACATTAAAAGGAACCACGAGAAGATCAAGAAGTTCGAGTCAACTACTGACTGCGGGCCAGGCAAGAGACATACACTCAAGAAAGCTGAACATCCAGAAGTGGAAGAAGCTTTGTACATGTGGTTTCTTCAGGAAAGAAATAGGCATGCACCAATTTCAGGACCCATGTTGGCCAAGCTAAGTTTTTTTTATAAGGAAATAACAAAAAAAGCTGATTTTGTGGGCAGCAAAGGAGGGCTAGAACGTTTTAAAAGTCGTCATGGCATAGGTTTAATGACTATTACACGAGATAAACTTTCTTACGATGCCACCTGCATAGAGCCCTTTAAATTAAGATTTTTGCAAAAGGTGAACGATTTAAATCTTGACCCGTACAATGCAGACGAATCAGAGCTTTTTTGGCGTGTGATGCCTAACAAAACTTTCGTTTCGTTTAACGAAAAATCCGTACCTGGACGAAAAGTAAATAAAAAGCGTGTAACCATACTAAACGCTGCGGGCACACACGCGCTTAAGATGATGGTCATTGGGAAATCTAATAAACCACGGGCATTCAAAAACATTGATTTACCTGTACACTATTACGGACGAAAAAGTGCATGGATGACAAAAGACCTTTTCAAAAAGTGGTTTGATGAATGCTTCGTACCTGAAGTTAGGAAATGGTTAAAAGATCATAATTTTCCTCAAAAAGCGTTGTTGCTTCTTGACAACGCTCCCGGTCATCCGTCTGAAGAAGAACTAACAACTGAGGATAAATGCATCACTGCGATGTTTCTTACGCCAAATTGTACTGCACTGATTCAACCAATGGACCAGAATATCATTCAGTTTGTCAAGCAAGACTATAAGAAAAACCTACTTCTGAGAGCCGTATCAAAAGACGAACCAATAGAAAAAACTTTAAATGAATTTAATTTGAAAGACTTGGTTTTTGCTCTTTTGCAGTCGTGGAATGAGTTACCGTCATCAACTATTAAATCGTCTTGGAAAAAGTTATGGCCAGATATAGTCACCACTCCTAGCAACGTTCCACAAATCAGTGTTACTTCGGAAGTTATAGCACAAGTCGCTACTGAAACACAGATAAGTCCGGAAGATTTGGAAATCTGGTGCCGTGGAATTGATAAAGAGGAAAATGTTTTTCTTGAAATGTCTGACGTAGAGATTATAAAAGAGGTTTCTAATTATACAACAAACAATCACGAAAATAACGACGATGAGATTGCAACTGCTCCACAAATTACAGCACAAGACGCAATCAACGCCTTTGAGCTAGGTTTACAATGGGCTGAAGAGAATGGTACATCCTGCAACGAACTTTTACTTTTGAGAAGACTGAGGGACAAAGCTCTGATCTCGCGTTATAAGAACTTTAAACAAAAAAAAATTGATGAATATTTCCAAGCATCATAACTTGATAAATTCATTAATGATTTTGATTAATAATTCTTGATTATTTTGGTACATATTTATGTGCATGTATGCTTAATTTTATAATAAAACGTAAGCTCTCTATTGTTATTTAATTTAATAAATTCAACATACATAAACTATGTATGATTTGTACTTCAAAGTACATACATATAGATAACATATATAATCTTACCATTGGATATGTAATTTGTCGGATTACAAGGTACTCTTTTGTAAAAAATTCCGGACTATAGGGGGTCTTAGGCAGTGCTCTATAATCCGACAAATTCGATAGTCCGACACTGCCCTGCATAATGTTTGTCGGATTACCGGAGGTGGAGGAAGGTGGTAGAATGAAAAGGCGGTGTCAGTTTTGTTTTGTTGCGGGTATTGCGATTGTGAGCTAAGTAACGGAAATGAATTTTTTCGTGTAAGTAGGATGGTAGCTTATGTATAATAAACTTATGGTACTGTACGAGGCTATGAAGCAGCTTGCGTTTCTTCATGTTCAGCCAGCCAGCATCAGTAAGCTTTGATGAAACAGAATAGTATTTTCTTAAACCAAAAATAAGTAGCGTTGTATTTTATCAGAGGTGAATTTAGTTAGACATTTGTCATAGACGACATCACAGAAGTTAAAATGCGACAGAACAAGAGAATTGCATAGTATGACTTTAGTTTTTCGGTTCGTGTAAGATTTTTGACCGTATATCGTCTTTAAATTACAATGCGCTCTTTCGGAGGTCCACTGTATAAGTCATCCGCGGAGCAGCTTTTCTTGATCGGACTTCTCAAGGCGGACGGAGTATTTACATTAGTAGAAACTCATAATTCCCTTTCGATGTTTTGATACTAAACTAAATCGTGTAGTCTCACGCGAAAGGCATTGAAAGCTAACCAGCTAGTGGACAAGTTAGAGGTTTTATTAGTAATTTCCGTTTCAAAGCTATGTCACATGCAAGTTACTTGTAATTATTCTATGAGTCAATTCCAGATAATAAGCATCAACAATCTAACAAAAGCTATTTTAAGATTAAGGTCAGATGGAAATCCTAGTGAATACCTTTCAATGATGGTTATAAGAAAATGTTTCAACATTATCGGAGAGAAATTATTATTGCTAGTGAATCACTGTTTAGTGTATGGAAACTAAAATTACTCCTTTTCCAAAAGTCCGAAATTCTGAGTTGTATACAAGCATGTGGCCAATTAATGTACTGTCATATGTCGAGAAGCTCTTAGCAGGAATCATTTATGAACAAATAATTGACTATATCGGAGAAAGCAACATATTGACAAAATTTCAAGCAGGATTTAGAAAAAAATATTCGATTCAAACAGTAATTCAAGTGGTCGTAGGAGAGTGGAGGCAAAATATGGATGAAAAATGATTTACAGTAACATTGCTCTTGGATTTCAAGAGAGCATTTGAGACTATTGATAGCGATAAACTGTGAACGATAATTACATTACTATGAATTTAAAGGTTCAGTATTTAACATATTAAAAAATTATTTAATCAATAGAAGTCAAAGAACCAAAATTGGCAATACACTACCAAGCATTGAAACATTTCGGTAGGTGTGCCACCAGGTAGCAAGTTAGGTTCATTGTTATTTACGAGTATTTTATATATTAACGATATTTCTGATGTTTTATGACACTGCACTGCATAAATTCAAATTAAACATAAACAGAGCAAAATATATGCCTATAGAAACGTCTTTAGTTGAAAATAAGATAAACGTTATAAATAATCATGAAAAAATTGAGTTAATCGAATCATTTGAAATCTGGGCATATATCTGGATAGTAAATTAACATTTGAAGAGCACTATGAATATGTTGTTTCAAAAATATCCAAAAAGATGAATTTATTCTAAAAACATTGTGTGTGCTATAATCCTTCCTCATTTGCTATATTGTTCGACTATTTTGTTCACTGCAACCGAAGCTGTTTTTCAAAATTACAAATATTACAAAATAAATCTACAAGAATTATTTTAAATAAAAATAAATATACTAGAATAAATTTTATGTTGACAGCACTACAATGGTTAAGTATAAAAAACTTAATGGTTAACTTGATTTTCATATTCAAAATCATCCTCTACCAAATCATTTAGAAAATTTTCTTGGACAACATAATGTTAGTTATTCTACTACATTGACTTTCATTTACAAGATTGTGATAGCAATATAACACAGAAACTAGTACTTCAAAAAGGATTGTACGAATTTAATGAATTTAGTAATGCTATTAAGTTCCAAGGAAAATTAAAAAATTATTTCATGGAAAACCTGAATTCATAGTAGTGAAACTTTGTATAAAAATATGAAGACATAAAATATTGTGTGAAATACTGTGTCACAATTATATTGTAGCATTAATGCTAAATAAATCTACAACAAACACAGAGTTAAAAATTGTACATTCCGAGGACGATTTTTTTAACTTTATGGAAACAGAAGAACGGATGCGCGAGATTACATGATTTAGTTTGGTATTAGAAGAATTCTAGCGATGGAAAGTCTTGGTAAAGTGGTTGCTTCAGCCGAAGATGGTACGTTTTTACAGCAGAGTGGCCGTACTACCTATCATCTATTTTTAGATAATTTCAAAAAATTCACCGCCTTGAAACAGAAAAATCCTAAGCTGATCACGATAGTAGCCATAGGAGGATGGGAAGAATCGGGTCAATTCTCCCATGTGGTGTCAGATCCCAAGCTCAGGGCAACTTTAGTAACGAGCGCCGTGAAGTTTATGCAGACTTACGGCTTCAATGGATTTGATTTAGATTGGGAGTTTCCTGGCCAAAGGGGAGGTGCGAAAACAGATAAGGTAAGAGAAAGTTACAAGTTATCCACTTCATCACTCAAACGCACGTAATTAAATCCCAACTTCGTTCCTGTGAAGTTCTCATAACTTAATGTGTGAAATAGGTAATGGTAGAAATAATATCTAATCGCTCACTTTAAATGCGTCATGTACGAGAAGAGGTTTAGTATTCATCAAAACTATAGAATTAGCACTAAGAATTTGATATAGGAAATCGGCATGATGATTTCCAATAGATTATAGCATGGTTTTTTTTATCCCGCGGGCAACGATTATTTGTTGACATCTGAAACCTGAAACATGAGGAACTGTAAGAGATACGAAGTCGCTGAGAAAATGAGGACAAGGTTGATTGATTTATCAGATAACTAACATAATTCCGCCTAGAAAGTTTCTAAATTCAAAGTACTCTGGAGAGAGATGGAATAAACAGAATTTTCCCAAAATCGTTTTAATGTTTTCCTGATTTTATTTGAAGTGGGATGTTAAAGTAAACTGCACACTAACATTACGACTTTTTCTCCTCTACATTGCATCTCTTGTCCTCCAGCATCAACTTTATTTTTTTCTTATAGACGCCATATTGTTTTTTTGCACAGATGAATAGAGTTTTTAATTCTGATTGCAAAAATATATAGAACGTCATACATTGACAACTCTAAACCTTAGTTATTTAAAAAAAGCAGATTTCCTAGGCAGGCCTTGTTTGGCATACCAGATTTATCCAAAAATCACCATTACTTTTTCCTGATTTTATTTGAGATGGGATTTACAAAGTAAATTGCGTGAAGTCATTGTTACTTATTTTGGCATAGTCAAATTTTCATTCGTCAATTGTATATTTTCGACATGCATCACCAACTTTGTTTTTTCATATAGGACGCTATATTGGAATTTTACAAGGTCCTTTCAATCCTAAAATCAGTGATGCATTCCTCGGTTGAATTTGTTGTTGGATGGAAATTATAAGGAAATAAAGAAGGTATGGTAAAACCTGAACACAAAATAAAAAACTAGTTAACAGTAATAGCAATAATAATCATAGATAAACAGAGGTAAATTATATCAGATGTTCAAAATGTTGTCCGTTACTTTGTAGGCGAAGTCTTCCCTTCTCGGTACATTGTTCACTGCTCGACTCAATCCCCATCTTCTCGGTCTTCCAAACCCTGTTCAATTTCTAGCTCTGCGGAACAAATGACCATCTGATAATTTCAAAGCCTACCCAAGAAATTCTGTTTTCTGGAATAACTAAGGCTTGGCAATGTCAATGTATGGCATATTATCACATTTTTGAGATCAGAATAAACAACTCTACTTATCTGCGCAAAGATCCAATATGGCGTCCTTAAGATCAAAATAAAGTTGACGCTGGAGGGCAACAGACAAAACGCCATATTGAAATTCTAACTATGTCATCTTGTAGAGGATAGAAAGTGGCAATGTTAATGTCCACTTCGAATTTAAAACACCCGGTATAGTAGCCGCAAAAACAAATGACCTGGGAGACAAACAAAATATATTTCCATTATTTTTTGATGTACTTTGATTTACGTTACACTAGTAAAGCTTCGTACTACATCTATAGTTATTAGACGCTCTGCGGAACATGGAGATTTATCTAGGATTCTTTTTTTGTTAATGTAGTCAAAAAGCTGAAATAATTTGGTGGAAACATGACGCTGACTAGCAACGCTTCGGGAATTCTAAACTTTGAAATTGAACGACAAATAAGGCTTTTCTGGGATACCAGGGATATAAAACCTGATATTGGCAGCAAAATAAAAAGGACAATCTGAATTTTTATCATTCTTTCATGAATTACATATTCCACGTTCCATGCGATATCCGTTGTCAGTTACTTGTCGATGTCAGTTCTTCTGGACCAGAGTAATATAATTTTTGTTATTACATGCTTAGTTCCAAACTCCCATAACTAAAAATACTCTCATTGGTCGCGCAAGTGCAATTTTTGTATGCTATAAGGTCTTTTAGATCTATATGAACCACAACCAATATATAAGATGGCTGACTGACGTTTTTTTAGAACGTAGAACATATTTGGTCATTTTTCCTCAAACTCCTCGTACCGATATATCGGAAACGTTGCTATTGTACTACCTGAATTATATACGCACATTGCCAAATACCTAATTTTAAAAATTTCCTCAAAATACATCTACGTGTCTACAAGAATATAAAATAAATAAAAATCAGAGCTATGATACGGATATCAATATATGGTAGCCATGTACAAACTCAACCTGATATTACGTCATTGTATTAGTTTCTTTTATCTGCTGAAATGCATGGGAAACACTTTGTGCGTCAGTGTGGAAAAAACATCCATCGTTATCTATGTTTATTTGTTACTTATTCTCTGTGACATAAACCTACTACGCTCAACAATTTGCACAATGAACTTTATAATTATAGTATTTCGTCTCTTGCTTATCATACCCAGCACTTTAAACGCTTACCAAACACTCGAACAAAACACTAACTGTTGAGGGCAGTCCCTCAGGCGCGGTCCTTTAAGGAGCCTGGAAAAAATATGTTTGCAAACAGACTTGGCAACAAATCGTTCCACATTCCTTACCTATTGCAGGCCTAGTGTTTGTTAACGTGTTTTACGAAAACGTATTACATAATGCGACTTGATCAATTTGGAGACTATCAAACAAGTAAAGGTAAAGCCCACTGTTATCATGTGCTATCGTTGCCAAAGTGTTTTCTGGCTTAATAATACATTTTGGAAGCTTGAATACCGGGTTTCTGGTAATTTAGCATATTCCTTCCAGGGCCACCCCTAAAAAAGGATCTAAGACCAACCCTCACAACTACGTGCCTTTTATAAGTAAGGTGATGGGGAGGTGCATAAATCGGAAGCTTCTGGAGTACCTCGAACGTCACGCCTTGACTAGCGACAGGCAGTATGGTTTTCCACCCCAGAGACCTACGGGGGACCACCTAGCTTACATCACGTACCTGTGGAGTAAATTCATCCAGTCTTATGCCGAAGCTCATGTCATTGCTCTTGATATCACGAAAGCATACGATGTAGTGTGGCATGTTGCCCACTTAAGCAAACTGCCACAGTTCCCAGTGATCGGTCAGGCCTCCGACAATGTTCTTTTTATATATCAACAACCTCATTTCCTTTACGACGAATCCGAATCACACTTGTCTGATACTCGTAACAGCCCTTTACATGCAGGCATTCAGAGTGTACTCTGTACAAAGCCCTGACTACAATATCCATGCACAATGCTGTCCAGAGGAGGGCTGTCCGACTGATCGATAACTCTTCTCTAATGGACAGTCTCGGGACCCTTTCGCCCCGGCGAGCAGTTGGCAATCTAGCTCTCTTCTACCGCTACGCCTGAGGGTTTGGATCCTCAGAGCTCTCCTCCATGATGTCGCGGCGCGGTATGTCTGCGAGACAGACCTGCCTGTCTTCGGCCTCCCATCCTAACCGTGTCGAATTTTGTGCATCCAGAACTGGACGATACGACCGCTCCTTTGTCCATAGGGTATAGAGATTGTGAAATAACTTACATGGGGAGTCTTCCCCCAGTTCTAGTAACCTTAGGATAAACAAAATTTCTTCAAGTTCTTCATAACAGCCTTGCTGCCAGGCATTTAGACTTCTGCCTGTGCGGTTGCTTCGGTGTAAAATAAATCCACCCATTGTATGATGATGATGATGATCGAAAATTGTTTTAAACAACAACAAGTTTTGTGAAGTCAATTGGTTTTCGCATACTTTATGTTGAATTTCAAAAATGAGAGAGACAAGAAAAGAAAATCCCTGGTTGGTGAAGTAACAGATGAGGAAATATCCTACAGACAGGAATATTTATGAAAGTGAAAATGCTATACATTATTTTTTATTTGAAGTCATTTAAATTTTATAGAAATTCACTTTTCGTTGAAAATAGAAAATACAAATCAGCGCCTAGATGTCCGGTGCTGCGAAAATGTTTGAAGTGTGATACGTCATTCCTAATTTTTCTGTGATGTGGCTTAATTGCACACAACGCGAGAGCGGTGGCTATTTCCCGTAATGTTCCTCAAAGTTTTTGAAACCACAAAAACTCGTAATTTATAACTTTGAACATAATCTGTCTCCGGAAAGGACAACATATAAATAACACGTGGGACATAGCTATATTAGATATATATACTTCATTAGTAGCATAATTTTGTCACATAGCAAATATCACTGATTTAAGACACATGCAGAACAATACACATAAACAAACATCCAGATGCAATCTTGCTATTCTATAACTATCTAAAACTGTAATGACTCATCGATGTTCACGTGAACATCACTTAACTACCAGTAGTCGGCTGTTCATAGGCGGGGTATGAATGTTTAACATGGGTGAACTAGATTTGTCACATGCTTAATAAAGTGTGGTTTGAAACATATTGTAAGTAAAAAATTTTTGAATTACCTTTATTCATCGTCGCTTCCACTTACATCTGACAGTAATAAACTGTCGCTATCGCTTTCATCGTTGAAATTGACTATAACTGGCTCTATGATGGTGTCGATGTGGTGGTCAAGCTGCCACATTTTTGTTTCTTCCTTCACAACATGACGGATAGCATTCTGCCAAGCTTCGGGCGTTACTAGCTGTATGGAAGTCTCAAGTAAAACCTTTTCGTCTGGTAATTTGAAGGTTGTGTTATGGCGCGCAATATAACCCTTCACTTGAGCCCAGATGAGCTCTATTGGGTTCAGTTCACAGTGGTAGGGCGGTAACCGCAGCACAGTGACACCACATTGACGGGCCATCTCATCAGTCACGTAACTAATGTTCGCAGGTTTGTGCTGTTTAATTTTTTCATACAATTCCGCTTTCACACATGAATCGTCAAACGGGATTCCTTTTTCGCGCAACCATTGCTGCATGTCACTTTTTCGAGATCCCATAGTCGGTACACGTTCGGCTCGACGACTATGGTAGGAAGCATTATCCATGACGATCACAGAGTTGGGCTCAACTCGCTGAAGCACCTCTTGGAACCAGCTCTCGAAGCAGCTGGCATTCATTTCGTCATGGTAATCACCTCCTTTCTTAGAGACGAAAATCAAGTCACACTCTTCTAAAAACCCACTATCGCTACCAATATGAGTTACGATCAATCTTTGACCTTTCCCTGACGGTCCACGAAGACCTGTTGACAAACCTTCAATGCTTGCTTGTTGGTTACTCACTACGTTTTTGTCTATCCAGGTTTTTTTAACTGTGTGACCTGCATTTACCCATGTCTCGTCCAAATAATAGATTTTTATGCTTTGTCGCCTATATTCAATGATTTCGCGTAGGTATTTTCGACGCCAGGCGACTATTTCAGGTCTCTCTATCAATACTGACTTCGGATTACGCGTTTCGTAACGAAAATTAATTTCGTGCAGGGATTTCCTCATTATCTCGACGCTCATTTGGGGTATAATTTCATTTTCCTTGATCGCTGCATGTACAGCCTTGATGGTTGGTATCTCATTCCTAAAGAAGAATGAATGTACGGTTCGCCTTAACGCCATTTTGTTATCGTTATCCAATTTAACGGCCTTTCGTCCCTTCAAATTAAACTTTGGATCAGTAGTAGCTCCAGTTTTCTTCTTTTCATGCACCCCCTGCGAATGGTCCACTCTGGAACGCCTGTCATACTTTCACAACGCGTGAGTGCATCTCCCTGCGACATAGTTCTATTCAGATAATTGAACACGTTGAGCACGATTTCTTTCGCGTCCCTCTTCAGTGCTTTACGAAGCCGTCTACTTGTTCCCTGGCTTTCAGTACTTCCACTCGTGCCATTTGTACTCTCCATGGTTAAGTATAACCAAAATACTAACCACAGAAACCACAACAATAACAATCACACAACAATTCTTATAAAAACACACAATATGCGATCGCTCAACGAAACACGTTACAATGCGTTGCCGACGCGTATGAGTTTGCCGGTCGAGGCGCGTCTTTGATTTCATTGGTTCTACCGGCGGAGAACAATCAGCCATTATTTCCATCTCTGTCTGTGCTGTTGACCACCGCAAAGCCACAGAAACGACATAAATATGTCGTACGCTATACGGCTGTACTGGAAGGAAGCCGGGATCGAGCTCTGATCACGTGTTGATCACGCGTATGAGTCATTACAGTTTTAAATAGTTGTAGTATAGTCAACTAACTTTTTTCTTTCACATCTTGTCAGAGATAAACACGACAGACTACTCGGCTTCACAAGACATATACTTGATTTCTGCAACCAACAATGCGTGTAGTGAGTCATTCCTTCAAAGATGGACGCTCACAGCGATTATAGTGAGCAAACGAGGAATGACCTATTTACACCCCAAAAACTACCTAATCTGCAAGTTGACATTTCGTTGTTTTTTTTTTTGACGTCTTATAGGTATTTTAAACAATAGCCAGTTTGTGCCAATGCGTAGCTAACTCTTGTTAGCTATACGTTATAAGTGCTTTTCGACCTCAAACTCGTAGTAAAAGTTAGCTCAGAGCTAAAAGGTTAGCTCGGTTAAGTTAACAGCATAGCTGGCCTTCGCCGAGTTTAAAATAAAGGCGTTTTTATTTATTTATTATTTATTAAAAGTGATGGCCTAGCCTAAGTCTTAGAATCGTCAAAGAGACACTTTTGTGATTTTTACTGTTGTCATACTCTTTCATCGTGTTTGTTCATTTTGCTTTGTATTATAAAACTTTTCTAAAATTTGAGTGATGATGAAGAAATGATGGAGGTCGTGCAGCATGAGAGACTAAACATGCTAAACACACAGTGCCAAGTAGGCAACGGAATTGTATAAATTTCAAAAGTACAGGGGATATCAACAAAAATTTTGCATTGTTGGAGGGCATTTTTAAGCATTCATCAATATTATGTTATCGTGATTAGGACAGCAGCATCTAAAAGTACAGAGCAGGCTTTTCTCAGCGAGCCTTTCGCGCCGCGTTGTTTGTATCACAGGATCTCTGATTACTAACTTCCCTGTCAACTGAAAATATATTTTTTTATAGCAAAATTTCTCCAAGTTAATCAAAGAATTACGGGCAGCCTTCGACAAACACGGATTTCTGCTTTCTGCTGCTGTCAATGGTGTAGGTTGGTCAGTGGATGTATCCTTTGAAGTTCCTGTACTGAACAAGTAAGAAATTGTAAAAGTAATCTTCCATAAACGAAAGACAAGAGTATTAAAATAAGTAGCTTAGGCACATTTTATTGCATTTAATTGTATGGTATGCATATTCTCCTCTTAGATATTTGGATATGATCAACGTGATGAGTTATGATTACCATGGTCCGTGGGATGTGAATAAAGTTACTGGTCACCATGCTGGTTTGTATCCCTCTGCTATAGATGTTGCTCATGGAGAAACACAGCTTAATGTGGTAAGTATCATTATGATAGGAGATCGGATTCACAACAAGGTGAATTGAAGTACATGTCCATTTAAATCTTGCCCTTTCTTGAAAAAGTGCCTGAGTTGTTCCACTACTGCTTACTAAGGTCGCGTCCATAGTCAAACTAACCTAGTACAATATATAGGCGTCCATTATCACTAGTCGCTATGTCAGAGAGATGCCAAACAGTTTGTCCAAAAGTATGGAGACATCTCAAAATCTTTAGAAAAAATCAAATATTTTTAGACCATATCAAAATCTGTGAAGTGATTTTAACAATGCCTAAACGCTGCCTGTACTGACAGACTTACAAACTGACACTGTGACTCAAGAGCTAAGGTCCACGGACCGCTCTAACAACCAACGATGACTTGATCACAATATCTCGAAAAATTCATTTAATACAGAAAAATGTTGCAGAACAATGGTGACCTTTTACGTGACCTTGACGATTACCTTCAAGGTCATTTGAAGGCCAAGACAGTTTTCTTAAATGGAAACCCCTATTTTTGGCACCGGATATGTAAAGAGTGCGAAATGTCCTTGCCCATGACCTTGACTGTGCCACAAGATCATTCCAGAGCGTCCAGAAGAAAATGTCCCGAAAAATATTCTACCCAGAGTAAAACGTTGCAAAGCAAAATTGCAAGGTTAATAAAGCGTTACCTAAAGGTGACCTTGACATTAAAGGTTTTACGGCGATCGAGGATTCAGCGGGCCGTGAAATTACTGTTCTGGAAGCAAGAATAGGAGTATTTCGTTGGATAACGTATTTTACCTTCAAATAACTTTGAATATCATGATCAAGGTGACGCTCAAGTATATGATAGTGACCTTGACCGTAAAATACCTCGCCATATTCTTGTACCCCGTAAGGAGCTTACTCAAAATTTTATCTGACCTTCAATTGCCCTAGAAGGTCATAGTCAACTTCACGTTTCGGGTCACCACTCGTTGACCCTTTTCATACCCTACAACTTTATTTTGCTACATTTTTCTTTATGAAACGCATTTATCGAGATATTTTGTTCTGTTTATACTTTTTTGGATGCCCGCAAATACCAATGAGGGTCACAGTGGAAGTCATGGGAAAAGACATACTTAAACGTAAAAAAGTAAGGATGTCCGTTAAAGAAAACCGCCTTGATCTTCAAATGACCTTGAAGGTCATAGCCCCGCTCACGATCAGATGAGCATTTGCAAACTTTACAACTTTGTTCTACAACATTATTGTCTATGAAACGTGTATTTTTGAATATCTAGATGTGTCCATAGGTTAATTTAGCATGGATGATAGTACCGTCGCCACTGTATCCCGGTGAGGAAGGACTCTTATTCTCATACAGCTTCAAACTCGCGATCATCTCAAAAAATATTCTAAAACCAATTTCCATCTGCTACAGTTACAAGAATGAAATTCCGTTATCATAAAAAATACGTCATGAAAATTTAATGAAGCTCGAGACGTTTTTCACTGCAAATAATTTTATTTCAGGGGGGATCAGAGCGTATCTGTATATTCGAATATTGGTTTGTAGATGGAACGTTGACGATGGTTGAGGATAATATTATTCAAAATTTCAACAAAAGTGCGTAGTACTCAAGAATAACTAGTATTTGCCAGTGTCACCCCAACTGGATAAAAATCACATAGAAAAGTCTATCATATAGCATAACTTAATCCTATCACCTATAAACTTTGAATCCGTTAACAAATTATAGACTATTAATATGAAATGTTCATTTTTAGGACGCGTCAATTCGTGGTTGGATACAAAGGGGAGCAGATCCACAGAAGCTTAACCTAGGCGTGCCTTTTTACGGCAGAAGCTTTACACTAAGTAACCCTTCTAACGCAGCCTTAGGGGCTCCGATTAGCGGTCCTGGAAAGCCAGGTCCTTACAGCAAGGATAGCGGAAGCCTGGGTTACGATGAAGTAAGTACTCGTACAGTGATTATGCTTCATAGGATAAATACAGTACGTTATCAGCGTTACAGTGATGACGTGATAGTGTACGACATTGGACCAACTACATCTATTTAACTTCGGATCAAAATTAATGATGTTCTGTCGAGAACACGGCCCATCAGAGCCGGAGGCCTTCAGGGTTCGGTTCTTGGACCTATTCTTTATTTGCTTCTTTATTCATAACGCCCCTTGCTCCATCAACTGTGAAGTTCATAACTATGCTGATGACACTGCTCTGGTAGCCCAGTCGTGTACTGGGAATCTGGTTCACCATGGGCTGCAAAGAGCAGTGGACAAGGTATTGGAATGGGTGGATCAAAATTAATCATTCTAAAACGCAGGTTATCTATTGTACCAAACAACGTAGCAGCACCGCGTTTGTTGTTTCAGTGAACTAAGTTCACGTACCATGAGAAAATTCTGCCAAGTATCTTGGTGTCACTCTTGATAAGTGGATGACCTGGCAGAAGCACACTGAAGCGTTAAAAGACAAATTCGAAATTATAATTCGGTAACTCCACCCGATACAATGTGGAATCTCAATATTAAGTTTGAACAACATCGTTCGGCTTTACAAAAGGGTTATCGGACCAGCGATCACTTACCCGTGTGAGGCTTGGTGGTTTCCCGCCAAAACGCATTTGCGTAGTCTGCGGATTTTGCAGAACAGAACCTTGCGCTACTATGGTATGTCTTCACAGAGACCACGACATCCCTTACCTAAGGGCCTATATCAAGCAACAAGCGCAGCTACGTCCATCACATCGCAACCCTTTGCTGCGTGTCAATAGAATATACAGCCGAGCAAGTTGGCAGGCACACAAGACCCCGGCTTACCTTGTGAATGAACTTAAATCGTTCGACTCTAGGTCCAACCAAAATTACAATTTTTCTATAATAAATCTCTAAATTAATTTTAGGTTCAACCTAAAATTCCCGCGTACTGACGCACTTCCTCTTTGCTCTCCCTTCTTCCTCCCTTACCCTCTTCTCCCCTTCTTTCTCCATGACTTTGGTGTCTGACCAACCAGACCTGTCGACTGACGATACTTTAACGAAAACCAAACGTCCGACGGACCGCTCTGACAGGCAATGACGGATAGAATCTATTCAACATACCTATACCCATTGTTATTCTAGATTGTTAAGCTGCAAAAGCAAGGTGGGTGGACATACGTGTGGGATGACAAACAGAAGGTCCCACACGCATATAAAGGAGACCAATGGGTCGGTTATGATGATCCTCGTTCGCTAGAAGGAAAGGTAATTGCGTTTAATTGCACTTTTATTCAACATTTCCTGAGGTAAACCAGTTTTAATTATTGCTTGTATCGCTACAGAGAACGTCAATGTCTTTCTTCCAGGTAAAATATGCGAAAACGAAGAACCTCGGTGGTATCATGATTTGGAACATTGCTACTGACGATTTCCATGGAGTGTCTGGGCGGAAGTTTCCTTTGTTGACAGCCATTAATAAAGCTATTATGTAATTTGTAAAAAATATTTACCTGTGTATGTATTACTTATTTGTGATAAACTATTAAGAAGAAAATAATCACCTGTTTACTATTTTTACATCTCGTGTTATACAAAATGCTACCTCATCTTATAGGCAAGGGAAAATTATGAACGAATTTCAAATTGGCGTCATGACATTACTGGAGCTTTTGCTGCCATTTTGAAAAACGCGATTGATCGAATACCTCAAAAACCATCAATGCTATGTAAAGTAATAGAAACAATTTTGCAGGGAATTAAATTGTTTATCAGTTTGCTGCTATGAAAATTTGTCGTATAGTCAACCAGTTGTAAGAGATTTATAGTTACAGATACATACATCTAATGATATTTTCGCTTATAGTGGCTAAAGTAACAACCTGAGCGTATAAAGACTACTTTCCTTTTTGTAGAGAACAACACTTGCTGCAAAAAAGGTTGCTCACGTTTTTTCGACACCTTGATGATTCTTCAAGTATAATAATAATAATAATTAACGTCTTTTATTTGTAATATTCTTACAGGAGGCGAGATTTAGATTATATATCTATTCTACCATCTAACCCCCTTAACAATACGAGATGTAAAAAAAAAAAGAATTTATTGAAAATTAATATGCACCTGTATACAATAACGAATAATCCAAGAAAATACATAAGGAAAATATGAGGACACTTATGGGTTACAACCGATTTCGCTGCTGATCAAGAAGAACTTCTTTCACTTTTTTCTTGAATTTGGATAATGGATTGGTTTCTTTTAAACTGCGGTCTAAAGAATTATATGATTTGATCGCATTGTAAATGTATGAATTCTGAAATAGAGACGTGCTGTGGCGTGGAATTGAAAAAGTCTCTCTATATCTAATATTAATACGATGCATATTCCCTCTACGTATGAATTTGTTTACTAAATATGACGGTGTTTTTGAATAAAGAACCTTATGAATCAGATTTAGGAGCTGGTACTTATACATTTTATCAATTTTCATCCATTTGAGTTCATTAATGGCATTCGATATATGATCGTATTTTCTGAGATCATTTACAAGCCTGCAACATGTATTCATAATACTTTGAATACGATTTCTTGTTATAATATCTAAATAGGGATAGTAAACCACTAAGCAATACGATATCTTTGAAAATACGAAATATTCACACAATTGCTTTCTCGCAGATTTATGTAATATAGCCTTATTTGCAAATAAAACTCTGAGAATAGCGTAGCACTGCGTAATTAGATAGTTCACGTGTGCAACAAATTTTAAGTCATCATCCATTATAATACCTAGGTTTTTCGAATGATCCACAGGAATTAATTTATTACCTTTTAAATGTATGTATATGTCCTTTTTTAAGGTATTCTTTTTTGTTCTATTTGCGTATACCAACATATTTGTCTTCAAAGGGTTCAAACGAAGATTATGACTACTACTGAACTTTTCAATTTGGGCAAGATCTTGATTAATTTTATTATTTGCGGTTTCTAAGTCATTACTCCTAAATGAATAGAAAATTTGAGTATCATCTGCAAAAAATTGTATGCTGCATGATTTTACCTCTGTTTCTAAATCTGAGATATATAATGAAAATAATAGCGGTCCTAAGACTGATCCCTGTGGTACACCAGAACAAATTTTTTGTTCCGTAGAGTACTGTTGATTTAGACGAACTTTTTGATACCGATTTTCAAGGTAGGTTTGAATAAACGAAAGAGGTTTTTCAGAAAATCCATAGTAACTGCATTTAGATACAAGAAGCGAGTGATTAATGGTGTCAAATGCTTTAGTAAAGTCAAGAAGTATGAGAGCTACTGCTTTTTGGTTATCAAGTGCCATTGTTATATTGTCTGTTAAATCACAGAGTGCCGAAGCTGTATTATGACCTTGTCGAAATCCAGATTGTTTAGATGGAATAATTTTGTTAGAATATAAGTAGGCGCACAGCTGCTCGTAAACAACGCGTTCCAATACTTTAGAGAAAATTGGCAGTAGACTGATCGGTCTCAGTTGACCATAGTTAGTAGGATCAGAACACTTAGGTAGCGGAATAACTATAGCGCGTTTCCACTGATTGGGGAAATATCCCCTCTCTAAACAGCAGTTTATAATATGCGTTAAGTAGACATCAATTTCAGGTATACATAGTAGTATCATATGTAAAGTTATTTCATCTGTACCACTAGAATTTGATTTTATTTTATGTATAATTTTAACAACGGTGTCAATAGTCACTTTATTAAATTGAAATTTGAATTTTGAGTTATTTTTATTAGCTCGGTAATATGCAATTTTATCAGCACAAGCCAAATCGCTATTCTCGAAAATTGAAATGAATGCCTCATTTATTTTATACGGATCGGACAAGCTCACGGGAATTGTAGAATCTCTCTGAGATTGTACTTTGAAAGTCTTTAGGGTCTTATAAAACTTTTTTATATCCTGATTTTGAACAGCTTGTAAATAATCTCTTTTTCCTCTTCGCACGAGAGTTAATGCACGATTTCTGAAATATGTATACTGTTGCCAAGAGGCGGCTGTACGATCACGTTTGAACTTTGACAAAGCTTCAGCCCTCTGCCTGAATACAAGTTTAATATTATCATCCAACCAAGGAGCTGGAGCTTTGTTTACACGCACTACCTTTTTTGGACAGTGAACATTAAATAAGCATAAAATTCTATCTGTTAAAAAGTTAATTTTATCTTCAATGTCATCTATCGATATAATATGCCACCATGGAAAACTCTTGAGATCTTGTTCAAACGCTATTTCATTTAAACTATGGAAATCCCTGAATGTAACAAATTTCTGTTGATTTTTAGGAAGTGCAATACGTATATCACAGAAGGTTAAATAGTGATCAGTAATCATATCAGCATTAATAGTGCCACTCCTAAGACAACTTTCAGGCTTGCTCAAATAAATAGGATCTAAGAGAGTGAGTGTCGATTCAGTTATTCTAGTCGGTTCAGATATCACCTGTTTCAGATTATAAGAATCAAGGCATTTAGTCAAGTTGTTACAAACTAAAAGCAAATTAACATTGATATCCCCTGCAAGGATGATATCATCATATTCAGCTAATATGGCAGGCAACATGTTATCAAAGGTATTACCGGCTTCTGTAACAGAGCTATGTGGGGGCCGATAGAATATACCAATAGCAATTTTTTGTTTTGCAAGCTGCACCTTCAACCATATATATTCAAGACTTGGGTCTTGCCCAAATGAAATTATGGAAGAGTTGTAGTGGTTGTTTACAAAGACTGCAACCCCACCACCTCGCCCATCTCTATCACAGCGATAGCAGTTGTATCCATTCATTCTTATATGGTCATTAGATATATCTTTTGATAGCCACGTTTCCGATATTCCAACAATATCAAGGTTGTTGTTTTGAACCAGTGTACTAAATTCATGAAATCCTGATAAAACTGATCTGCAGTTTATATGACCAAATTTTAAAACCTTGAATTTATCACTATTCATATTCAATTCTAGATTTCAGGTATGTAACATATTTTTTATAAGTTGGACAATCCAAGTCTTTAGAAGAATGACTAGTATCAAATTGAGTGTTGAATTTAGAATTGTGATTCATACAGTTTGAACAATTCTTAAAAGCAGATTTACAATTTTTTTCCAAATGATCTCCCGCACATAAAGGACATGATACTTTAGAATGTATGCAATTTTTTTCCATGTGGCCAAAACCTGAACATTTATAGCAGCGTATAATTCGTACATAATCCCGCACAGGACATCTTTGCCAACCCATGTATATATGACCTCTATCTAGCAACGTTTTTCTAAATTTTGGGCTAACCTCAATGACAACATTTAAAGTAGATTCGTATAAGGAGCGAAATCAAAAATTCGTATCAAAACAGTCGCGCGGCATACTGCTCACTCTACTTCTCGTTGTCCACATGTCAGCATAAAACATATTTCCACATAAGGATAACCCCGTAGGGGGATATATGATCAAGAACACAATTTTAGGGTGAATCCATTTTTTCCTGCGACGCGTAAGTAGTTGAGACGATTCACAGTCTCTAGTAGGTGAACACATGTGCATGTGCATCGGCCGTGTACGTACGAGGTCTATAAATTAAGTAATAAGACTGGCAACGTAGCGTTCCATCTGGCAACACTGAAGGTGTCGGGCTTGGAGAGGAGACAGGGGAACATGTGAGCCGTCTTTAGTTCAAGTATGAACTGTGTTCTAAAAATGAGTGACATCAATCTCGAGCAATGGTGTGCTATCAGGTTTTGTTTTAAACTTGGGCACGGGGCAATGGAAAGTCTTGCTAAAATTTAGCAGGCCTTCGGCGATAGTGTTTTGTCAAGAGTCCAGGTTTTTCGGTAGTTCAAACGGCTGTGATCGACCAGCTGAAGGCTATTCCAGAATCGGAGTACCAGCACTGCATGAGGCGTGGAAGAACCGTCTCGGGGCAAAGTGTGGCTTTATAAGTTTTGCGGGTGACAATATAAAATCTTAATTATATTTTAATAAAAAACGCTGAAGTTGGGGGTGATGAAATTGTTGAAAAATTTTCGCGGAACATTGTTCCAACTGGATTGGGTGGGTCATTTTAATGCTTGTCATGAGCACTTTATAACTCTAGAATGTAAAATCCCTCTTTCAAAATGACGAATTAGCAGGCGGTCAAATTTTAACGTTTTTGTACATTTAGAATCGCCTGAAACTGATCATTAAAACGATATGGTATGTCATATAATTCTTCTTTTGGTGAGATCTATCAGAATGCAGTAATTCAATAGGAGACATCCTATTTGATGAACTGTCAAAATGTCATTTTATTTCCCACGCCCACTGGGGTAATTGCGAAAATTTTCGAATGATTCGGATTTCGATGATTTTTTTACACAGTGTTGATACTAAGCCAAGGACGCAACAGCTTTGCTTAGTTTTTGAAAATCGTTTTGGTGGCGGCAGGGAAAAAGGCATTTCACAGGATCCAGATTATTTAAAAAAATTAGAGGTAAAAAAACTTGTGAATAGAGGTTGTTGTAAGAGAGTGGGACAGGTTTATCACAATTTATTGATTCTAGTGTATTTTTATTATATGGAATCACACGTATTTCTTCCGCTACCAAAGTGCCACATCTGCCCGAGTTAGGTATCGCGATGAGGCAACGTTTCCAGATGCACTACCAATAGGGCAGGGAAAAAATGTCTATGGACCTATTTGTCTGACTTTTTTCTCAGTAGTCTGTGTTGCATGTATTCCTTTATGTACTGACAAGGGCGTTGCATGGGAAGCGTAGAGTCAACCTACTTGACGCCATTTTTTAAGGATTTTTCTATTTCTCTTTGCACATTCATAAAAGTTGTTCTGAGCGACAATCTTGAAATGTTCAGATGTCACTTTTAAGTTAAAATATTTTATTTCTGCATCAATTTCTTCACTCATTCAAAAGATAATTGGAATTTATAGAAAGCACTATATGGCTGTCACTTATTTTTGTTGCTGGTTGTACAACTATTTTGTCCGCAAGAAAGAAAAATCCGTCCTTTAGACGAGCAAATTGAGAAAAGTAGTGTCCACCTCTTGTTGCATTCAAGGGAGACATTTAGGGTTTGGCGAAATTTTTCCTCAATTATGCGATGTGTGAATGGTACAAACAGGAATCCAAGTAAATACAAATAATTTCAACTGTCCAAATGATTTATTCATCAAAATAGTAAATAACAAGAATCAACGTCATAAATATTGCTTTAAATTATTTGATTGACTAGACACTACATTCAAAGCGCGGCTTATAGATTTCTCTCTGTAAGAGTATTTTAAACAGCTTAGAGCCTAGGATTCCTGAATACTTTATAAGCCTATTGTCTACTTTAAAACATCTACATTCTCATCCTACTAATATAAAATGATTTAACAAAGGAAGAAATCTCATATGTATTGTTTAGTCCCACTGTTTGTCAAATAAAATATCTGTTCTACTTCTCTATGAGTAGGTTAAATGGGCCCAGAAAATAAAAAAGCTAATGCTGAAACATACCAATGAAAAACTGCCAGATCTGTAGACAATGTGCAAAAAAATAAATTGTCTAGAATGTTGCAGCTGTTGGTATAGGCAAAATATTGTATGTTTTACTTTTTTCACAGTCATCATTAATACTTTTAAATTATAAACTACAACGAAAATGAACAAAAATAAATTAAGGATCTATATACAACAATAACAAGCAATAACCAATAACTATAATAAAAAATCACATATGATACGAAATCAAGAAGGACTAGGATAAAAGTATACACGCGATAACCATCTGATCTTATAAATATCATTTGAAAACAAATCCAAATAATATGCCTACTTTTGCTAACTAGAGATAGTGGCTTCTTGTGCATCGTAGTTCGCGCTTTTTCTATGGAACAAAATAGACTGAAATCATTTTATAAGTTTTCATGGATTTGACATGAATACTATAGTTAAATGACCTAAACTTCATGGTTTTTAATTTTCCTTCATTCATAGCTTTCACATAAATTAAGAAAGATAATAACATACTAGGATGATCAAACTTATTGTCATCTGAAAATACTTGAAGTACAGTACTCCTTATCGAATGAGTTCCAGCATTCACTTCTTAAATAAAACAATTCAATACATCACCCTACTCCAAAGTAACATTTCATCAAGTTTCCACACCATAAGTGCTAATAGCGAAATGGATAAAAAAATTCAATCATGCAATACAATTTTTCGTTTAAAACTACATTCCAAATCAACTAGTACCTCAGAGAATTTCAAGAAACGCATAACAAAAATAACAACACTTAAATATTGATGCAAAATATTCTAATTTGACTCGGAATTGTATGTAATAATTTAGAGAAATAAGCATTTATAAAGAATATATAGAAGAATAATTTTAAGCATTTCTAAAGAATATATTGAGGAATGATATATATATATATATATATATATATATATATATATCATTGCCTTTGACATCGACAAAATATAGAAATCAAAATTTGGTATCACTTTTCACATCAAAGACCTTATCGGAACTGTAACATAAAAGGATGCACAAACCTAGGCATTATGTTTGGATACTAGTTGATCAAATCATAGCGCTATATCACAAAATTTTATTTAGCCTGACTAGTTGAAGCTAGCTGAGGAAAAGGAACCACCTCAGTGAGAGGTGTTCCTAGCACTTGTTCGCACACGATATTCGGATCCAACATCAAGGAGGAAATCTGGTCTTCGTTCAACATATCCACACTGAAATAAATAATTTATTGTGTTTCCGATAAATGAAAAAAATACAGAATTAGTCAAAGATATAATAACGAGCCAGAATCGAACCGAGCTGATTTGACAATTCATTTGCGTTCTCGAGAGTGCGAAGTCCACTTAAAATGCTACAATTACAAAAGGAGGAGTGCCCATAAGGCCGGTTTTCGGCCTGATACAATTTTCAACAATAAAGAAAGTCCATTTTTATGCATATCAAAAAAACTAGACGATTTAACCACAAACGACACTCATAGGAAACTCCTACTTGCCAGGATGAAGGTTAGTTCAAGATCAATTTTAGGTAAAATTGTGAAAGTAAGTAACCAGGTATCTGACAGTTTACAGTCATCCTTATAGATTTTGGGGATCACTTAGCTTGAATTTGTTTGTTGAAGATTTATTTACCATTAATGCTACAATGTCAACTTTGTATAATTATTCGTTTACATATTTTTTGAATCAATTTTCTGTATTTTTACATTCCTGTCTATTAAAATTACATCACTCATTTTGGGTATTCATAAAGTGATTTTTTCATTCCACCCTAAACACTTTTAGATTCGAACACTGTTATCATTATTCAATTTATTAAATTCAATTCCTCCCGTTTGAAATGCAGATTAGCTAGTCATGATACTATTACAATTTTGAATATGAAAATGACAACATCCACCACTGACATTTGAAAGGTGTTTAGAGATAATTTTAAGGTCAAATTGAAAAATGTCGGGTAATCAATTGTACTAGACCTGCATGTGGGATTTGAGGTCGCTGAGTCCAACTCTGAGGTCGGTTTGTCCGTATCAGGTCATTTGAAGGGCGTTTTAAGGTAAATCCAAAAACCATTCACGAATGTAGAGCCTGCTTGGCATAATGTAGAGTGTCATTGCTACCAAGTTTCGTTATAGTTCTGTTCATGCACTGAATGTTATGAAGTATCGAAAATCAAAAAATACATACACGCCGGGGAATATATGCATATAAATAACGAACGCAAAGGAATATAGAGAAAAAGTAAAGGGCAAGTCGGAATAAGCTTAACATAACCTTCAATTCAGACAACGGAAATTTTGATAACTATACTCTAGGAAAAAAATATTTCGGTGCTGTCAAATAATGCAAACGGCTAGTATTGCATCCGTTATACAATATATACTTCTATGATCGAAAGAAATAGATCAAGATGCCTTCATTACTAAAAGAAGTGATATACCTTGCCAGACTTTCTGTGTCAGAATTGTCATCTTCAACATTCAGGTACGTCAACGTCTTTTCCAAAGGACTAGGCGACTTCTTTCCACCACTGCTCCTACATTCTGTCACTGGAACTTTAGGTTCGCTGTTCCGTCTCTCTGTCAGAGAACTGATGTTCAACATCATCATGCCTTGAGAGAAAATTTCCTTCACCTTTTCACCTGTAGGACCCAGAAGATTGTCTAAGCTTTGTCTACGACCTACAATAAGCAGTGCCATCCAACTATTAGAAGCAGCACTAATGACTTTAAAAGCAAACAATAAAAATGTTGTAGATGTAAGGTTTGAAAAGTGTCATCTAATGGCGCCCTTACCTTGGCCATTACATTGAAGGTCTTTTGTGTATTCTTAAATGTAAATGGAAATGTTTGACAGCAGAAATACAGTGGAATGGGGATTTTTTTTGGCCTCCAAGAGGCATGGAAAGAACAAAACATCTTTAAAAATATTGTACTTAGAGAAAAATGTTGCAGAGAATAGTTTGAAGGTTTAGAGAGAGCCATCTAAAAGGTTTTACGATGATGGAGAGTTTAGCGTGAAAGTCCGTCCTGGAAACAATGCTATTAAAAATTCATTTGACCTTCAAATGACCTTGAAGATCATGGTCAGAGTCATTGGCATGGATATACATCAACGTAAAATTGTCCACGATTTGCATGTCATGAATTAAAAATGGATGTTTCGCGTTAAAAAAATCATTTCATCTTCAATTGACTGTGATAATCATAGCCAAGGTCATAGACATACTTGATCTTAGAGTGTTCTGCTTGTTACATTTCCGGCGTCAAAAAGAGAGGTTTTCATTTAAGAAAACCGTCCTGACCTTCGAATGTCCTTGATTGTCATAGACAAGTTCACGTTAATATTTTGAAACACCGTATATATAGTAGACAAACTTTTGCTCGACACAAAAAGTAGTTTTCGTTTTGTCTTTTGCGCCAGTTCCCAGAGGGGGGGCAATTCCTGATCGCAGTGTAGAACAGAACGCTCACTGGAGAATCATAACAGATTCTGACAGCTGCATTGGCGTTTATCGAACAAGTTTATCAATGCATTTTCGGCAGAATAATGATTCTTTGTATAATTAACAGTTCGTCATAAGTTCACTTCTGTACTGTTTTCCCAATGACCCAGAGAGCGATTCTTCATGTCATCAAAGTCACCTAGGAAGTAAAGTAAAACTAGATGGACGGTTAAAAAATCCAGGACTGGAGTGGACTTCTTGTTTATTATCCTTTAAGCTGTTTATGTGTATTTAAACATTTTTATTTACTCAAATATCTTATTTCAAGCAGTTTATCTGACAAAAAACTAAAAGTTGTAACGTCCCATCAACATTTTACAAAATCATGCTTAAAATTGAACTCAAGGTGTATTGGGAACTCCAAATTACAGGGTCGGATTAATTTTTTTATTTCCTTTTATTAAGTGCACCGCCGTATAAGTTATACTCTGAATTTGTGATTTCACAGAAAAAGAGCAATACACGATATAGGTAAAAGGTATAATAAATGTAGTGGATCCTACTTAATGTGTTCATGAGTTTTTCATATGATTTAATTCTCTTGGAAAGGTCTATCCCAAATGTAATAAAGAATGGAATATTCCATTTAAAAAAATTGTCCAAATCTGTCAAATTTTTGTAACATATTTTTTATTGCACATTTAAATAGACAATTCCAAAAGAATAATATTAGTATAACATGCTATAACGTTTTTATGATTATTTGTTGAGTTATAAGCGATTCAGTTTACAAAAACACTCAAAGTTCACAGTGTCAGTCCGATATTTTGAAAGGTAGGTAGTGATTTTATATTCTAGGGTTATAAAATTCGCATAAAGGACGTCAAAATGACGTATCACAGTACTAGACACTCCATTAAAATGTTCCAAAGTAGCACAGTTGCAAACATGGAATTTTCAACTGTCATTTTTAACGCTCTTTTATTAGCTTGACCTGTAGGTATGTAACGAAATCTTTCAACCTAATTTTAAACAATTTCAAGAAGTCTGATTAAATTCGCACAGGGGTCATTGGCCGATGACAACACAATAATAATCTTGTAAAAAATTCGCGTTCATAAATTAAAAAAAAAATTGAATTTGTAAATTTGGAAAATAATTGGACAATTCGGAAATCTGGAAAATTATTCGAAGATTTAGAAATTTTGGAAATAATATGGAAAAAACAAGGTTCAGGTTCGAACTAAATAGTCCAACGTTGTAAATATCAACTAAAAAAATAATTTTAACATTTAATATCAAGCAGCCCACACTTTTCACTGTAATTGAATTTTTTGTTATTATTTTATTATCTACTTTTTAGTTCGGTTTGCTATTGAAGCATGTTGTTTTTTCAGTTTTTTAAACTATAATTTATTACGTTTGAATATAGTATGGATGCCTCAATTTTATCACCTCAAATTTCAGCTTGCCAACTTCACACGTTCAAAAAATAGCTAGGGCATTTATATTTTAATCGCGTCCCTAATTCACTAAAACCACATAAATGAGTAGTTTGAAAGATAAACATGTCAACTGGTGAAATGAAAAGTCTACGTGCTTATGTAATAAAATGCAAATGATGCCGTAATCAGTTTGTGATTCGAAAATACCAAATTACAATATCAGCTATGGTGAAATCAGCGCTAGAAGTTGTATTTCAAAACAGCAGTGACTCACCCATCGGAACCTCAGTTTTTGCCGACGATCTATTGATCCAATTTGTAATATTCGCGTCCAACTTCATTTTATTCTTAATAGAAGAAAACTCGTTGTCAGTTTTTGGATTGGGTAGCGTTTTTTGCCTCACTAGCCTGGATTTCTCTGGTGGATGATCCAATTTTTTATACGGTATATCTTCCTCGGGACTAGAATTGTCCAGGTTTATCTCTGTCCATTCGCTGGATTGACTATGGGTTATACTTGGTTGTTTCTCGCTAAAAATGTATAATAATAATGATCAACACAAGTACTTAAGTACATATACGAATGCTTTGAAACTACAGTTAAGGATCAAAACAATTTCTGATAAAAATGTACAAAAAGGCACAAAACAACTCGCTGGGGAGATAATGCACCTATGATCACGTACTTACATAATTAGTATCTTTTTCTCTCATCCATTCATCCAGTGTTGAAGCAAAGAATAAAAAGTTACATACAGATCCTAAACTAAAAATATACCTAGCTGACACTGGTGAGACAGGCGATGCCCCGTTCCCATATGCGCATAATTTCAAACTCTTATATCCCCAGACATCTTCGGATTTCGCCACTCCAGGACTCGGCAAATTATCGGTTTTTTGTGGAAGACTTTTGAATTCGTCTATCAGATCTTCTGAATCGTCAAGCATAGAAACATTCGAATCCAGGCTCCGCTGCTTGTTAGGTTGCTTGGCGGGTGTGCCATTCAACAACAGAGAGGCTTTCCTCCTAACATCAGGATACAAAAGAAATAATTTCTTATCCCAGTGTCTGTTACATGTATGTGCTGTTAATATCTTTTAATTGCTGGGATAAATCAAAATGTCTTTATTCAAATTGCCAACGTTTCAGCGTTTATTTTATGGCTTCCTTAAGGCTAGAAGAAATGTGAAAAAAATACATTTAAAATTTCAAAGTTGTAAATACAAATACAAGAGCCAGTTGAAAAATTTCACTAAAAAAAATCCCAAGAATTTAGTAACTATAGAACAAACAAAAACGATGACAATAAGTGTGCCTACATATTAAAAGTTATATAATAATTCTGACTTCAAAGTTTAAAATGTTTTCCTTAACATGGGGCATTACAAAGAAACATATTGAAAACCAGATATAAAAATCTAAATACCTCATTTTAAAGAAAACATCTTTAACTTCGCACGTTTATTGTCATCGTTTTGTTTTTTCTAGTTTTTATTTTCTTAGTGAAGTTTTTTAACTAACTTTTTTCACTTCACTGCTACATTTAGAATTCTAGATTTTTTAAATGTATTTTTTGCAGCCCTGAGGAAGGCGTAAAGTAACTGCCGAAACGTTGGTAATTTGATTAAAGACAAACATGCGTTGATTTATCCCAAGAATCCGAAGAAATTGAGACCACATTAAATCAGGATTATTGTATTTAGTCTTTTTTTTTAATTCGTACGTATAATAGAAGTTTTGCTATCAACCTGACGCTTATCCTGTTATTTTCATGTTAATAAATTGAGCCACATATATCTTTTGTCCAGAAAGTAATCGGCTTCATTTTTTGTAACAGGACTATACATCGCAGCGCGGCGGGTCTGGTTGGAAAGCCCCAGCCTCGTATAGTCCCGACCTGGCGCCATCGGAGTCTTTTTTTTTGTTTCCTCGACTGAACAGGGATCTCATGGGACAGCATCTGGACACCCTAGATAACAGTCAAGTTACTTCGTCGGCCATCCTGAACAGCATTCCGGTCTAGGAGTTCCAGGGAGAGTACGCGGCTTGGAAACCACGCTGGCTGGAGGGTGCTACTAGAATATTGAGCTTCTGAACTTTTTTACACCGAAGCAGCCGTGCAGGCAGAAGCCTGCCACCTGCCATGGCATCGTGGCTGCTCTTAAGAGCCTAAATAAACTTTGTTATTCCGATTTTTGAACTGCCTAAGGTTAGTAGAACTGGGAAAAGCCGTCTTATGTAGATCACAATCTCGATACTCTAGGGACAGAAAAGCGGTCGTATCGGCCAGTTCTGGAAGTACGAAGTTCGACATGGTTAGGAAGGGAGACTGAGGTCAAGCGGGTCTGTCTGGCACACACATCTCGCGGCGGCATAATGGAGGAGAGCTCTGAGGAGCATCGCCTTTTGGCGTAGCGATAGAAGAGAGCTAGATCGCCGGCAGACCGCTGTGTGAAAGGGTCCCGAATATGTCCATTAGTTAAGACTCATCGATCGGACAGCCCTCCTCTGAACAACATAGAGCAAGTATAATGTAGTCGGTAGGGCAGCACTCCAAACATGGTAGGTCTTATTAGCGACTTGCAGAGTGAGGAGGTCAAGTGGAGAAAAGTAGTTCTTAGCCCTAAACAAATAGCCTAGCTTTTCCCAGCAGCTGTCCCTATGGACGAGATCAAGTCCTCGCTGGTCTGGACCCCAACCAGCCAAAATAAACGCCTTCCTGATAAAACTCAGCCATCAAAATCGAATGAACGCTATGACGTTTCTCGCCACTGCACAGTTTTGGAAGCATTACACTGTACAAGATTGCTACATCCCAAGCAGCGATAATCTCCAGGTTATTCGTCAGGAAAGTCGTGGCTGGTCTGCTTTTCTCCAGCTCACTGGCAGAGATCGGCTTGTAACCTGAATTCCTGCATGACTTTGGGCAATAAATTTTGTGGATGAATAACGCTCACTACTTTCCGGAGAAACACTTTGCAAAGCACAAATTAAATACATTATTTGTGCTTTGAAAAGGTCGTAGTCATTCGGATATATGTGGTTTTATTTGGAGAGAAAAACATGGAGTCTTACTCGTTGGTATTGTTAGGATATTTTATGGGAGGTCTAAACCGGGGTTTTTGACAAGTAAGCCTCCATTAATTCCACTAATGTTTGTATTAACTGTAATTTAGTGTCGAGCGTTCTTAGCTCTGATAAATAAAAATCTGTTAAGCCGTTTGATGGCGCAAGTGTTCAAGAATTATACTTGTTGAACATAAAAATTACCTGTTTTGATGAATCTCATCGGAAATCTGTTCGAGATTACGCAACGCGTCGGCGTAGGTCATTTTCGAAGCACTAACGTGAGACTCGATGCTTCGAATTTTTGCAATCTGGTGTTCCAGTAGCTGGTTGAAATGGGCTTTCAATTCATAGTAGGGCCTAAAAAATATTTTGTGAGCTTTCCCATATTTTAAAACATAAATTGTAGTTTGACATTTAGCGTTTTGTACACTTCAAAACAAAAATGCCACACATGGGGACAGAAATGGCCAACCATCATTGCAATACCGATTTCGTGCATAAATGCGTCCTAGCATTCCTAAAAATTGGATGAAATATGCCCATTATTATGACGTGGCTCCCACGTACTGTTGTATCTAGGGAATCCGTGATTTTACAGAAAAGCTGTTTTACGTTAAAACAATTTTCAGATATGAATAGTAGGTTATGACCTTGCTCCCACATTATATGATTCAAGCTACGTCAGTGTGTGAGACGCACGACTTGAAAATATGCGTTTTCCTTTACTAACAAATCATAAAATGCCGAACTTTATTTGGTTTAATGGGTGATAAAAATAAATAAAAAGAAAACATACTTACAGAAACATTAACTCATGCTGTGATAAAATGCTGCTCATTTGCATGAACGATCTTCGAATAGATAAACTGAAGAAAACAAAAAATCAGCATAAAAAGAAAAATAATAAGCAAGTTAGTAGTAAATCATAATTTTATTACAAATATAAAAATATGTGGAATAAACTGTGATACTAAAACTTGCTAGAATCACTCAAGTGAAACAGTGCAAATACAAACAAAAAGAACTTATAAGTCTCTAAACACATAAGCAACAATATGTTAGGTTTTCATATTTATGTATTGATGTAAATCCCACATCTGACAATTCCAAACTTCTACTTGTAATGTTACTAATAATATGCTTACTCAAAATAGAACAAAGGCTAAATGAATACAATGACAGTAACAAATCTTTGATACACATAATAAAAATAACCAACACATCATTTTTCAATGAATCATACAACTAAAATGAAATGCACTCATGATGTACCTGCTTTTAGTTATAGCCCTTTTCAGTTCCTTCTGCAAGCTTTGTACCTTTGCATTTGCTGCTTCATGTTTAACACATGCAATTCTATGATCTATCTCAGCAGTGCTTCTGTCCTTTTCAGCATCATTTACTCGTTGTGTGGCATGGTTTAGCATTTCTTGCCATGCTGGATCTGGAAAAAACTCAGCACATAGTAATTTCGTTACTTTTTGATTTTTGTGAATAGATCCACCAACAACAACATAACTGCTGCTTGGACAAAATCAGTCAGAACCCAAGTGATAGCCTCACAACTGCTGACTCGCTGTTTTTCTAAATTCCAGCACACCTCTACATCCTGCCTATTAGAGTTCCAACAAATACGTTGAAAGAGTGCACCCAAAAACCTTTCATAAACATTAGAGAGGTCCAGTATACAAAACTTCATTTTAATTTGTCAAATCTCATACTCAGTAGGAATGTGACTACGCCTTTTACAAATGAAGCTTAACAAATGTACTTTTGACAGAATGTTGTTGTTTACAAACCTAATGTTCTACCCCCTAATCCTTGCTCTGCTAAATAGACCATTTCTCTAGCTGCACTGTGGGCACTGTTAGCTTTTTCAAACTTCATTGCAGCTGCTTGGGTGTGCTTAAGGATCTCATTCGCTACAAATCTAGCTTCATAATATGGTCTGGACCTTTCTACACACATGCCTAGCTTTAATCTTATTGCATCTACCTGAAACAGACGTCAATTCATAGACCAAATTCTACAAGGTAATGCATGTGTCTTGTGATGACATAAGTTCCATTGGCTTTACCAGGTATTTTCCCCAGAGGAGACCACAACTAGACTAAACCAGTGGCTCCCCTCGCATGGAAGTAGTGTGAAGTATAGGTCATTCATTTTGCATTAGTATGAAGGAGATTGGATTCGGAGAGAGAAATGAAATATTCAATGAAATGCAATAGTAATTTTGGTAAAGAACTTATTTATCCAACATTTTAATACACCAATAAATTAATTTCAATGTTTCACTTTTTTATATCCTCGAAAAAAGTAAGGAGTTAACGTCAAGATTTATCTAATCCTAAAATCATCTTGAAAGTCATGGTCAGGTTGATTGGCAAGGATATACTTGAACTTAAAATTGTCTGCAATTTGCATTTCCAAAACCAAAAATAGATGTTTTCTGTAAAAAATTATTTGATCTTCAAAGGACCTTGATGGCTACAGTCAAGGTCATGGTCATAGGTAAGTCTCTTGCTCTTTTTATTTCTGCTGTCAAAGGCTAGGGGTTTCTTCCATTTAAGAAAACTGTCTTGACCTTCAAATATACTTGGAGGTGATTGATAATCAAGGTCATATTCTAGGTGACCAGTAGATAAACATTTTCACATCTGACAAATTTGTTCTACAACATTTTTCTCTAGGAAACATATTTTTCGAGATATTTTTGTCTCTCTGTATTGTGGTTCAGACGTAACACTGACAGACTGAACAGTCATTCAAATTTTTATATACATATACAATAATGGACAAAAGTATATAGACAAATTAATATTGTGCTGCATTTCTTTTTTAGCTTGTTTTATTAATACACCAACCTGTATACATAATTTGTTATAGCATAATACTCACTTATACATAAATCAATTCATTAGACTCCCCTCAATAAAAAATTAATTGGAAAAAACTGGAACTATGAAGGTCAAAAATATATAGACAAAGCAAAACAATTATAGAGAAAAGAAGCAAAGTTCATTGAATTATAGAAAAACAACCATGTTTGTGTTAATATTTTGTAGCATAACCATTATTATCAATCACTGCCTGGCATCGTCTCGGCATAGATTGTAGAAGTTTCTTGATATAAGATTCATCAATCTGTCTCCACTTTTGCTCTAAAGCGGCAAAAAGTACATCCTTGTTTGAATAATTTTTATCTCGTATTTGCTTATCTAAGTATTCCCATAGACTTTCAATGGGATTTATATCGGGAGACTGTGAAGGCCATTTGAGAACTGGTATTTTTTGATCCAGAAAGAATTTCTTTGCAAGATTTGAAGTGTGCTTCGGGTCATTATCTTGCTGGAAGATTGATCTAGGGCATATTGTCTTTCATATAGGGTAACATGAGATGCTTTAGTATACCTGTGTATACAAACTAATCCATAATGCCATCTATTCTACGTAAAGGTCCCATCCCAAACCCTGGAAAGCACCCCCAAACCATAACAGACCCGCCTCAATTTGACAGTGGGCAAAGGGTACTTGAGGTTCAATCTTGTCCACTAGGACGTCTAACGTAATGAACACCATCTGATCCAAACATATTGAACTAAAACATACCCTCTTCCAGTCACAGGAAGAGATTAGCGGCTTCTTACTTGGACTACGTGCAAATAACTTCAAATCATTTAGTCTTCTACTTATAGTTTTCGTAGAAACACTGACAATTCCTTTTGTCTCGATTTCGGCTTTTATTTGCCTTAGGGTTTTAAACAGATCTTTGGAAGAAATTACTTTTATTAATCTAACTGATCTAGCATTTAGTTTTCTAGGCCGACCACTTCTCTTAGACTTAGAGGCTTCCAAGATACCTTTTTGTTTATATTTGTTCAATATTGCCCAAACTGCTTTACTCTTCAGCTGCAAATTTTTGGCAATGTCGACCATCTTTGTATAACTCGATGATCTTAGTTTTCACAACGAAAGAAATTTCTGGACCACGCGGCATGGTCTTAAAATCACTCAACTTATTCCAGAATACTTGATGAATACAAACTAAACCTTTTCTGACACAAAGCTGTTCTAAACTAATGATGAAGAGAATTTGTCTACATATTTTTGTCCCTCATAAAAAAGTGCTGATATTCAGACTGTATTGTGTTCATTGCAGACAAAGTAGAAACAAGGAATTTAGTTTTTCTACTAATAAAGCATTGGATTTTGGAGCAATGAAGGTATAAGTTTATTTTTCTTGCACCTGATGAAAGCCTAACATCAATGGTAGACGAAGAGGCGCATTCTACTGACAAAGTGCAAACAACCTCACACCTTCGACACTAAACTCTACAATTGAACTTTGGTTGGCAAGTCTTGCCATGTCTTGTACATATTAAAAAAGTAAAAACATCCAGGATATACTTTTTGTAGGCAAAATATTGATATTCATTCACTGGCACATTTGAAGAGTTGATTAAGGAGGGCGCGCGCATTACCCCAGGCGTCCGCCTGCCACTCTTTTTCAAGAAAATGGTACAGTGCAGCCCCATAGACAATCGACCATCGTCGCACCCCTCCCCTCTAGAGATTCCTAAATCTGCCCTTTATGCTCCTTAAGGTTTGGGGCCTGCCATATAGTGGCTCTGACTCTACAGAGAATGATTTATTCGAATAGTTTCATGCAAGTAAAAAACTATTTAGTTGTTAAGATAAGAGAAAACTGATGCCCACAGTTTAATTGTGTTCAGTTTTGTATACCTTGGCAGTACTATCACAGAGTAGTTGTCGAAATGCACTTCGACATTCATCCAGTTCTACTTCAAGTCTGTTAATTTCATCCGTTGCATTATTAAGCCGTTCTAGTTCGATTTGCACTCTAGGATCCACCGTGTCTGTATATTCTGCTCCATTCTCGCACATATTTGTGATTCTAAAATTTGAAAATTAAGGACACTCCAGCAGTCTTTTGTATGTGTTGGTGAATGGAGTGTTTACCTTATTAAATTAGTTGGTCTATAAATTATATGATGCCTATTTCATTATATTGCTTTGAACCTGCATTTTATTGCTTGAGACTGGATTGATTAAATTTTACATAAATAAAAAAAATTGAGGTTCGTAAAAGTCAGCTGTGTCGCTGTCAGTGTCAAAACGTCAAAGGGGGCGTTCAAAGAACGTGGGTAGGGAGAGAATAAAGAACGAGTTGCTACAGAGAGGCCATGTAAAAGCCGCCATCATGGAATATCCAATACAAGGGGAGGTCAATATTTTCACACAACGTAAGGATTCCAAAAAATGATACAGTTTGTAAATACAGCCATATTTAATTTCAATCGATCAAAGTTTTTTTTGATACTAAGGTAGGTAACAACTTCTGGGTATTTTTTAATCTCATCTGATTAATACATTTTTATTTCATTCGTGTTTTGTCCATGAGTTTAACCGACTTTACAACAAAGCTTATAAGCTTCTTGACTCAGTAGAAAGGCGGACTTGGAGGGGGCGCCTCCCTGGACGCTCATGTCTGCAAATTTTTTTTACGGAAATGGTATATGTTGCTGTACCTTGGTGTAGGAATTACCTTGCTAGACGTGAATCGTAAGACGTACGATAGACGAAAATGAAATGGCTGTTTTTGCAGTGCTTCACACCCGACTATTGGGGTCTTTTTGCTTTCATATGTCTCGGAGGCTTTTTTTTAGCAAAATAATCTCTTCTATGAAGTAATCCCCTTTTGCCTCTCCAAAATCCTGAACTTCCTTCTTGAAGCCTCACTGACTTGTAAAACTTCAACCAAGAGCAAAGGTCCCACAGACCGCTCTGTTGTGGTTTGTCAATCATATTTGCTCAGTGCTTTAGATACGTTTTGGAGGACGTAAATACCTACTCATAAAATTTCACGAAAAAAGTTCTTCGACTCCAGCACGTCTTTTTTACTGAAATCTGTGGATACTTTCACTCTTAACAACTTACTGGGACTATCCCAACAGAAGGGGTATCGGATACTATCCACCTATTACTTTCCCGATTTTTGTATCAGCAGTCATTTTAAACTATTTAAATATCCTCTTAACGAATCTAAACGGCAAAATTCGGATCTACAGAAGATAAAACACATATGAGTCAGTCTATATGACACGTTTGAGTTCAACCTGAAATCCTATGGAAATTCCTTACGTAAAAGTGAATTCAAGAATATGTAAATAGACAACTCACCAAAAGATCATATAGCAATATGTGAATAACTAACCATAAAACACATGAGGTCGAAAACAGCAGATTTCACATTTACTATTACGAAATCAATCGACAACATCCCATATTATTTTTGTATCATAAGCCATCTGCCTGAGAGTGACAGTGAAATTACTAACTGACTATCACGGAAAGTTTCATATAGCCAAAGGCATTATTTGCTTCCTATCATTATTGAGCAGTATAGTATATTATACATATAGTGGTACCCAAAATTATTCAGTGCCAAGATTTTTTTGGTTTCGTTTATTACTATATCAATTTTTGGCTTCTTGTTTGACCATTCTTTGAACGACTTGAGACTGGAAGTTGGAACTTAAATGAAAAAGAAAAACAGGATAAAAACAATCAGCTTCTGCGAATTTCAAATGTCATTGAATCAGACAAATAAACCAGTTTTAAAGAACTTATTTAGGCTTAATATAGTATTTGAGTTTCAGAAGCTTGGAATGTCAAATAACTTTCACAGTTTATTAACAATAGTAATGGAATTTGATATGTTACTGAAACAAAAGAATCATATTTCTATTAATTATTATTGCACATTGCACTTGAGTATTGAAATATCGATATGTAAGATGTTTTAATTTTGAATACTTTAATATCTTCAAGGTATATGGCATTTGGATTAAACCTGGTCAAAACGAACACTCAGGAAGAATCTAATTTTCCGTTTTACATCTAAACATCCATACACTTATCCGTTCAGCCTTCTTCAATAATTGTAGTTTGGCGTATACGAAAGCACTGTTCTTACTGTTCAAAGTCATAATACTTGCAACTCAGTCTATGATAAATGTATTAACCATGCCGACTGGACTATAGCGTCCGCGTCTTTAACTGTCTCGACTGTGACTGGTTGCTTCCGCGATATGATCGGGTATTCAACTTCAAGCGATGGATTCCAGAGGCCTTCCAGAGCACTTCATCTCCGCACGTCGCGAACGCGACCACGTTCCATGCACGGTCTCGTAATCCTGGTTGCCTAAGTTTCGATATTGTGAAGGCGTTTTCTTGTTACTCAAGGTCCCAGGTACGAGGGAGTTTCAGTATATTTAAAGGACTTTATCCGTGAGTCAACTATTGCGGAGAATTGCGTGTACAGTTTTGGTAGGAATCAATCAACTAAGTAGAAATTGTGTACACACGTTTGTTTTGCGTGACAATATAAAATGAATTAACCGCCGCCATCTTGGATCTAAAATGTGCGGATGCTACAAACTGGCTATTTATCATTTCCATGATATGGGTATCAAATGAAAGGAGTTGATAAGAGAAATGCAATAAGCCAAGTGACGTCATTGTCAGTTCAATAAGGCGGCCGCCGTTAACTGACAATTTGTAGTTTCCATAGTTACATGGTTACTGCTATGTTATGGATATCAAGTGAAAGAGATTAATAAGAGAAATACAATAAGCAAATAACGTCAGTCTAAATTCCATATGGCGATCGTCACAAAATATCGATTTATTATTACATGATTGGCGTTTATCGAAATTCTGTACTACAGATAGAGAAAGAAGTTTTAAGGAGTCCTACTATTAAAATCTATGAACATTATATGGAAATTAACAAGCTAGTTATTTGGTATCATAAATATGTACCAAGAAGTGAAAAATATATGGAATACATTTTTGAAAAAAATCTTTTCTTTAGATGATGATAAAGTGAAACTCAAATTTAAAAGTATATTTCCGATTGTTGATACTTAAACGATAATGAATAAGCTTCTTCATCTAAGGTTTTCAAAAAAAGTGTTAGCAGGAAGGAACAAGGGTGTAATATGCTGTAATTTGAAAATTTGAGATGAAGGAGTTTCATTATTGTTCAAATATTTCTAATCGGGAAAATATTTTTAAATTTTTAGCTCGTTTTATTGTCCGCTAAATAAGAGCTTGCTTATGAAAATTACTTTTTTTATTTTATTTATTAGGTTGGTATTTCAATGTTTGAGCTCATTTTCTGATTGATATGCGACATTTTTGTTATATACGAGCTTGTATTTCCAGTGCTTTGATTGTGGTTTCTGATAGATGCGAACCTAAAAGCTAGTAGGGGTCTTTGGGCAAGGTATTTCTTGGGGCCTTCTGAATGAGCAAAGCTCCTTTATAGACTCAATAACATATATTGACCGTGTAGACTATGCGTCAGTAATTATTGATGTAAAAGGTAACGTAGAAAATCAGTGACACTGACCGACAGTGAATACTGATCATGTGACATGGAGTTTACTTTATCTCCTAATCATAATTCTTAAAATAAGATATTTTCTTTGTTCTGGTAGTACAGTACCACGATGCACAGGTAGTAAGGCGTATAAAATTCCCAGTAAAGACTATCACTGTACGAACGCATGAGGTCGATACATGTCTATGAAAAATGAACATCACGACAGAATAATTCATATTCATATCGTGTTAAACTTAATAAAAAGCGAAGCGCATCAATTTTTCAATGTTTTCGGCGGAGCTAGACGGCCTTGCCGAGGCCCCGTCAGGCCCCCCGGCGCACAATCTGATAATAATAAAGACGGGGAGCTCCAAGTTCTAGGCCATACTTTCACGTACTTTCTTCTCTTCATCTTGAAGTACGATGACTTGGATTTTCTGCCACACCACGCAATGTTGCTCGTTACGATCTATATTGCCGCCTTCAGCCAGAGGCGCGGTAAGTGTTGTCAACGCTCGTTTGGGTATCGCGAGCGATTGTATTTTTGTTATATATACAGGGTGTTCCAGAGTAACATTTCAACCTCTTGTATGCATATAGAACACAAAAATAAATACCCATTACAGGGCTCTCTCAGGAGATACATGCTTCCGAAGCACGTTACTGGAGATAAAGATTTTTATCGATTAAAACATCTCATGTTTAACAGTTTACGTGACTCAAAACTCAAAATTTCAAAGGCTATCAACTTGGTTTCATTAACATTTTATAAAATAATTTTTAAAGTTCAACTAAACATGTTTCGAGAACTCAAAATTCCAAGGTCGGGTTCAGGTTGTTTTATTCCCTTGTTTTTTATTCAGTGCAATGCACTGATATATACTAAGTGACATATAAATCCGAACACCCAGTTTAAATGGTTTTATTTTAATAAAATTTTGTATAAGTACGTAATGAAGCATAATAAGTAAATGATAAAAATTTCATGATGATTGCACTGCTTTAAAGCCCTTTGACCTTTAATAATGTGTGGATGCACCCTGATGTGCCACGCATTCTCCAACGCGCCTAGGCATGCTTCTGATCAGGTGGTCAATGTCCTCCTGTGGTATCTCGTTTCAGGCAACCACCAACTCCTCTCGAAGTGCTTCTAGAGTCTGAGGAGGACGTTGCAAATTGAGCAATCTCCTACCCATCATATCCCAGACGTCCTCAATTGGGGATAAGTCGGGAGATCTTGGTGGACATGGTAACAATGTGACATCATTATGTTGAAAGAAGTCTATTGTGACTCTTGCAACATGTGGTCGGGCATTATCTTGTTGGAAAGTTGGATCTGCCAGGGTGTCAAGATAGGGTAAAAGATGGGGTTCTAGAACTTCGTGGATATAACGCTGCGCGTTCATGTTACCTCTGATGAAGATTAAAAGTGACCTGGAACCATAAGCTATAGCACCCCAAACCATAACTCCAACAGTGTGATGAACATGTCTTTCAACAAAAAACTGTGGATTCCTCCTTTCACCACGTCGCCTTCTAACCCTGGCACGACCATCGTGCATGCCTAAACATCGAGACTGGTCACTAAAGACAATACTGTTCCATTCCTGATCCCAGAGTGACCGTTGTCTGCACCACTCAAGGCGATTACGTCGGTGTTCTCGAGTTAAAGGGAGGACCCAGTGTGGCCGGTATGAAAACAAGCCAAAACTTCTCATTCGTCGGTAAACACTTCGCATGCCAAT